GTTGTACAAGTCCTTAGATAAAGTTAGGATGGCATGTGTAGCGGAAACGACACAATGATCAAGTGTATCAAAGTGACGGCTCAACTGGAATGCAGAGATTGATTCTATCTGGCAGAGGAGACGGTTTGCTCCCTACCCGAGACGGTTTGCTCGATACAAGAGTAGAAGTACCTCTAGATATGATGGTCAAGTGGGATGGTTTGTCCGCTTCCTCGAGACGGTTTGCTCGTTTACTATACTAAAGGTAACCTAGCTAGCTCAGGTGATAGAATCGACAGCGAACTAGTGTTCGCTCGGATACTCCGAGTCTGGTTAGAGACTCTTGTCACAGATTTCAGCAATATATCAGAAAGTTTTATTTATTATATTGCCCTGAAATATTGTGCAATATTTGACATAAAAACATCAACAACATTGCTGTCGCATTGAAATATTGGAATATTGTTGTAATGGTTTCGAAATATAGTGTGCTGTGTGGGTAGTATATTTGCTTATGCATACATGTAGATTTGTAAATAAGTAATGCACCTGGCCTAGTACGTGCATGCAATATAATATACCTAGGTATATCGAGATAAACAACACATCATTAGTCCAGTTAAATAGAGTTATAGTCGAGAATTTTAGTATTCATTTTCGATGAACAAAATTTATTTCTTACTACAGAGCGCATGTTATTTAGATTTTTCAGTCAAACCATTTTTTCACGTTATTGTGATTTGCTTATACACTAATTATTTAAATGCATCATTTTTATGACGTTATTATCTTCGATCGTAGTATAGGCCTACTGGGGTCCCGCTACGTTAAATAATGGGAACGCATCGATTACGGCACCTCTTGGGTGATATGGAAGCCTGTAGATTATCATTGTTGATGCCCTTATTATAATAAAGTAATAAATAAAATTAGAAAAAAAATTGATATTTGGTTCGATTTTTTTTACCTTCAGCGTGCAGCTCGTACAACTTTTGAAGACATTGAAGCACTTCACGCCGGTTAAATCAGTGCTAAATTTTAGTAATCGTTTTTGTAAATTTAATGCATTACGTAATATTGGTCAGGTAATATTATTGTAAATTCATCGCTCTGAATGTTTTTATGGGTTATGGGCACATGTTATAATACAAATCACCCTTCACTGCAATCAATTAATTCATAAAACTATGTAAAAACGATGAAAAATATTGAGCACTGATTTGACCGGCGTGAAGCGCTTCAACCTCTTTAATATCTTGTATTTAAAAAAAAAAATCATAACGTCCAGAAGAAGAAAAAAAAAATTCCGACGAAGAGTCTAGAAACACAGATCTCTAGCCTCCTAACCCAATGCCTTGCCTATCGACCAGCATCATGTAATTTCTATACTTTCTTCGAAACTTGTATTTCAGTAGTTAAGTCATTTGCTCTACCGCATAATTGACAGATAAACCATATGCACGATTTTCCTTTAAATACATTCGTATGTTCTTCATATCTAAATTATTAATAAAAACAAATGGGAAGCTACCTTAAAAATTGAGGTAAGGTCTACAACAAATAACACATAGTTATTTAAGAAAATGATTTTATATTTATTTATGTGCACTTGCATATGTGATCTACAATCCGAAAATATACAGAAAGCAATAAGAGTTATAACACTGAAATTCGTTTCTATTATATAATCTTTGATACACGTGATAAATCCTACAATTTCTCGATCATTAATTCTATTTAGAATGTTTTTTGTGTTATTAATGTTACTCGGAACAAATGGTGCTTGTTTCTTGGAAACAATTTGCGCGTGCGCGCTACAGTCTCTTTTAGTACAAATCCCCAATCATAGGGTGCGTCACAAGATAGCTTGGTGTGTCCGGCGAGGCAGGTAATTAATTATTGCAGGAGATAATACAAAACACACACTATCTTTATTAATTAGTTAACGTGTACAGGAAGGCGGGCATGCTGGTGCGCTAGATGCGAGTGATGCGAGACGACTAGAAGGTCCTCGAAGGGCCTGATCCGGAGGGCGCCACCGCTGCGGGCGTCCTTGCCTCCTATTGGCTGCTGCCTCGTTGGTCGCCACATTGGGATTTTCGGGGCGCCATCTGCCCGCCCGGATTGGAACTAAAATTTTACTATAGTATAAGCTTGACATACCCCCACCACGTCCTCCGCACCTCTATACCTATCCACACTCAACGATGAAACCTTCAATAAAGTTGGTTGGCCTAAGTCGCATCAGAGATAAGTAAGACAAAGATAAGTAAGGCAAAGACATGTGCCTTCGGCGCCACGGCGAGAGGAGAGAGATGTGCACACACACACGCATGGCGAATGAGCGGATTTGGAGTAGGGACCATTGCTAAGCTCCGATCGGCCTGTATTCCCACTCCAGAACATCGTTGATGCTTACTGTAGTACAATGTTCGACGTTTTTCATCCACCCAACTCTGTTTTTTATTAATCTTTCCATATTAAAAAGTGTACAACACGTTTCACGAAGAAGCCATATATGTATGTATGTGAATAGATAACTGGTAAGTATATTCAGTTATATCATCTGTATTCGTTTTTTAATAGAAAAAAGCATTAATAGTATAAGGAAAAAAAATATATGCAAGCTTCAAAAAACAACAATAGAAATACAAAAACATTCTTTCTTTAGTCAAATATCTTATTTATTTACTATATTGTGCATAACCTATAAACATAATACAAGTTTTTGTTTGCAGATACATAATAAATTTGTATTTGAAATACTAGAAAAAAATGACTGATCCAAATGCTTCGGTTGTTATTGTTAAAGCAAAACCAGTTAGAAAGGTTTTTAAGGCTCCCGTTAGGGTAAACAAAGTGCCACAAGAACTTTTAAATGATCCTGTACTCAATGCTGCAATTGCAGCTTTACCCTCTAATTATAATTTTGAAATACATAAGACAGTTTGGAGAATAAAAGAGACGAAGGCTAAAAGAGTGGCTTTACAAATGCCTGAAGGTCTCTTGATGTATGCCACAACAATTGCTGATATTATTGAAGATTTTACTGGTGCAGATAGTGTCATTATGGGAGATGTGACATACGGTAAAAGCAGTATACTAGCCATATGCACTAAAAGCAATGTTTACAATAATCTCTTTTTTAGGTGCTTGCTGTATAGATGACTTCACAGCAAAAGCCTTGAATGTCGATCTTCTGGTTCATTATGGACATTCGTGCTTAATTCCAATAGATCAAACTGTTGGTATTAGAGTATTATATATATTTGTAGACATTAGAATTGATGCTGCACATTGCATAGAATCAATACAAGCTGCTTTGTCCATTACCACAAAAATAGCACTGGTCAGTACCATACAGTTTGCAGCTACTTTGCAGTCAGTTGCAAGTGAAATGAGAAAGGCTGGCTACGAAGCTACAGTTCCACAAAGTAAACCTTTAAGTCCTGGAGAGGTTTGTACAATCAATTCTAAAGAAACTATGCCTACTTTCAAATACATAATGATTTATCAATGGTCTAAAGGTTTTAGGCTGTACAGCACCACAAATTCGATGTGCAGATGCTGTAATTTATTTAGGCGATGGACGCTTTCACTTAGAGGCTGCTATGATAGCAAACCCAAAGTTACGCGCATTTCGCTATGATCCTTATGAAAAGAAATTAACTGAAGAATTCTATGATCATGACACCATGAAGTCGACTAGAAAAAACGCCATTGATCGTGCACGAAACGCTAATAAATTCGGTCTAATACTTGGTACACTTGGACGACAAGGAAATCCAAATGTGTTGAAAACTCTACAAAGCAAAATAAAATCATTGGGAAAGGATGATATAGTCATTCTGCTGTCAGAGATATTTCCGGATAAAATTAGACTCTTTGAAGATATTGATGCTTTTATTCAAGTATATATTAATAATTTATTCTGGCAATATTTATTACTAGGGAATTCATTAATTATAAGAAACAATAATTCTTTACTTTTATAGGTAGCATGTCCAAGACTAAGTATAGACTGGGGTACAGCCTTTGACAAACCTCTACTATCACCTTACGAAGGTGCTGTAGCTGTAAATTTAGCAATTCTTGACAATGAGAAACCCTACCCAATGGATTTTTATTCAGCCGCAAGCTTAGGACCCTGGACACCTAATCACAAGCCATCAGAATTGGAAAAGCAAACTGATGCCTGTTGTGGGAAATGCAAGGATGGAAAGTAGCAAGTCACTCTCAAAAATAATATTGCCCAGACAACACACGTGTTCAAAAGTCATCTTTAAGATGTCTTAAAGACAACTTTTGTGCTATTAGACGTCTTAAAGACGACTTTTGGACATTTTGTGATGTCTGGATGTGAACATGTACAACAAGATCAAGAATTATGTAAATAAGTTTGGGTAATAATTAAAATCAAATATATAACCCCAAATAATTAAATTGTTTAAAGATCCAATTTGAATCCTTATCGACCATAAAAATATACAGATTAAAAGTTTCATTGCAAAGAAGGAATTACGAATCCTTGTTCATCTCTGTTCAGGAGCTTCAGTATAGTTTGAATATGATGGTGCAGTAAAAGGGTGTTTGAAACGCCTACGCAAGAGCCACCTCCTTAAATAAAACGCCACATTCTATACGTGTGGATAATATGTATATATACAGCTAAGAAGAGATCTATACATTTTAACAAGCCTGCTGGAGGGTCTGTATTGGAGCGATAATGGATAGATAGAAGGGTCTGCCGCGTGGGCGAATTACGTCATACGCCCACCTGTAGCCGACTCGCGCGCATTGAACAACCCCGTGTGCTCTCATGCATACCCGGTGTTCAAGATATATAGAATACTTTTATACTGGATGAAGAATTTGATTTCAACTTATTCAGACTATTATTATATATCAGATTTAGAATGAATTTAAATGCATCACACGCAGTTGGATCGTACTTCTTCATAATTAAAATTATATCAATTATTTCTGCGAATGCAATTCCATTTTGTACTCACATTCAATAATATATTTATAAGATATGATTCTTGTAAATAGTTGTTGTAGTGAGTTAAGGAATTAATTTTTATTGAAACGTTAAAAATCTATATTAATCATTTATTTTATAAACTTATTATGGTTTTAATAAGTCTTATTTTCTTGAAGATTGCTAGTAACATTTGCGATTGATGGATATTGGACACTGGGTGTACATAGTAATTTTGTGGGGTGAAAGGCGGCGCCGACCGCACCCCGGCGTCGCGACGTCAGTCGTCGCTCCAACGCGGCTCAACAAGTATTCGCGGTCCGGACGAAAAAGTTCAAATTTTGTGCGGAAGCTGTCGGTGCAACATGTAACATAGTGAATGGTAAAATCAGCGCAGTTTCCATCTGTATAACAGCTGGAAAAAGCATCCGGAGCAAGCATTCTATCTTTACGGCATCTCTTCCGCATTGACACAAGCTTGTAAACTTTCCACTCATCAGGAAATTAAATTATCAGACGATATTAACAGTTGATTATTGTAAGTAATTATCAATCATGATTTTACAGACAAACAATACTTACTGTACGAATCATTTCATACCACGTCAATTGGAGGAACTTGATCATTTTAATGTAATAGCACAAGTCCCATTGACTTAAATAATATACTTTGAAAATATTTTGTTCTATACTCAAAACAAAATAGAAGAATAATAAAATAATTAATTATATAATATTTCTAACTCTCCTGAGTCTTTTTTATAGAACACAGCAATACATCAAATGTTTCAGTTTAGTAAATTATCACAATGAGGTCCGAGCTTGCAAATGAAGATAGCGTTGGAGAAGAGTGGACGTCTCGTGGAAACTCTCAGGGTGGCAGATCAGCACGTCGAACATCGAGACGTACCGAAAGACATAATACAAAAAGTTCAAAGTCTTGTCGTGCAACGACGCCTCGTGAAAGGACCCTTAGAAGATTGGAGAGTAATGAAAGGGAACGAATGAGAATGCATAGTTTAAACGATGCCTTTCAAGTGAGTTATTAATCAATTTTTGTGCATCAATCAGATTAAATCATAATAATTATTTATCTTCGTTATATTATATATTTAATATCGATTATAGTCACTACGAGAAGTAATACCGCACGTAAGCAAAGAAAGGAGGCTGTCAAAAATCGAGACCTTGACCCTGGCTAAAAATTATATAGTCGCCTTGACGGATGTTATCTGCGCGATGCGAACCGAGGAACAGTCAGCTAGTCAACAATTACAACAAAATTCGCAGGAGGAATCTTCTGATCAGACAAATGTTTGTCTCAGTATAAATACACCGACCTCCTCGAGATCATCTAGTCCGGAAACAAGAAGTTTTTACGAGAGCAACGAAATTAATACCCTATGGGGTGACCATTCTAATCAATGCGCGGAACTTTGAAAGATAATTCTAACGATGGGTAGATTGTCTTGCGAATCAGGCAGCTACTCAAGAGTTCTAGAGCTCTTTAATGTCAACTACATATACTATGATAAGTTCTTGAGTGAATGCCAGGTAGATTTAAAATTGATATTTATTTTAAATTTCCTCATCGACTATAGTGATAAAAGCGAGAGCGTATTCGCACAAATGCCATTAATTATAATCTTATCAATCGATAAAAGGTAAAAAGATAGAATGTCGGATAACTTGTGGCTAGTTATTCGTCATTTATTATTCTTGTATATCTATTTTATTAGCTGACGATTCATTAATTCGAAAAACATTCAGCTTTTTCATTCATTAGCATTTGAATGGTGCCAAAGATTGATACGGGCAGTATTAATTTGTATCAAATAAGTATAGACACTATAATGTATATTAAATTAATCAAAGGTTATTTTTAGATAGATAATGATATAGATGCACCTATATTGATTGTCAAGTCTATATGACGAATTACAATGCAAGGATATTGATAAGAGTGATAACAGGCCATTGTCCATAATGGTCGATATTAGAACATATATGACATATGTAAGTTCAACTCCACATGCGAAACTGTAAAATTCTTGGTCCAAGTAAGTTTATGATATCTCTTCCAATATCAAACGAAACAAAGATATAATAGACATAATAGGACCTCTTACAATAGAGCATACGTGCTTTTTATTAATATATCATGACGATTGAACTTAGTTGATTTTGTAAATTAATTGTCTGAAAGAGTGCAACGGAAGCGCATTTAGTGAGAAATTTTTATTTGCTTTGTAAGGTCTCATAGAGAAGCTTAGGAAGATGCGTATACCGAGATTAAAGTTAACCTTTAACGGTCACACTTGAGTACTTTCCATAAGAGTCATACGTTAGGTTGAAATCCCTGTGACCCCAGGTGACCGTTAAAAGTTAAAAAACACCAAAATATGCAACTGCAAGAAATAATATATTTAATATATCTATATATACATATTATAATTAGAATGAATAATAAATTATATATTTAAAAAATTATAAAACTAATTATTGTTTTGAAATACTAGCCTGCAAAAATGCTTCAGGACCGCAAATTTAAAAATTAACTATATACAGCAATAGCTAATCTAATCATAAATCATAATGAATTCCTTGTTAAGGCTATAAAGTTGCCAGCAGATAAAATTTTAATGAAATAGGTATTATTGATATTGATTAACTTATTCCGCCGAATGAGATGGGCCTTGTATCCAAGGACTGTAAATCAACTAGAATGGCCGTGTGAGTTTTCGAAAATTCTGGGACACAGATTAAACGTACCGTCTGTCCCTCTTGTCCTAAATTTTGTAATATCAAAGATTATTATTTATTATATCACTGTACACTATTTATTCTTACCTTTGTACAATTTACTTTCATACTTTTCCATGTTGCTAACAAAATATATGTCAGGGCATTCTTGCATGACAAACGGATCTTTGTCAAAATATGGATAGGCTGGAAGAGTATCTGGTGCAGTAGGTGCATAATTTCTCCAATCTAAAGTTCTTTCTAACCAAATTAATGGACAAACTTTGGATATGCCAACAACTTTCATTATATCTTCAATAGGTTGTCCACTGGAGCCAGATACAATTCTGTTACCAATTCTTCCAATCCAAGGATTTGTGGCTCCATGTAAACTTTTATATCTGCATTATGTAGTTCATTTATTTAGGTTACAGTTAAGTATCTCTTTTTATTCCGATGTATGTTGAGATAGAATACCTTGAAGATTTAGGCAACATACATGGGTGTATAGGTTGTTGAGGCATACTATGACATGTTGGATCATATTGTCCTGGCATTAATGTTACACAACAACATTGTACAATTTGATTAAGAAAGGAATCAAATCGGTTTACTGCAATTGAGGTCTCATTGGCTACCATTAAGTCTTGAGCTTTATTTCTGGCATGGCCTTTACTCATATGGATTTCAGCCGAGCTGCGAATGCTGTTTCCTGTATAATTATAAGCTCTTATTTTCATAGCAGTTTGATGCTATGAATGTTATATTTAATTTATTGTACCAGCAATTATCACTCGCACGATAGATGCTTCCTCTTCTTGCGTTTCCCTATTACCAGCCGTTCCGGTCATATATTCGACTAGTAGCTTGAATGCCATACTCTGTGCATAATTTACAAAATCCAAACCTGACACTAGCAATAACTTTCCATTTATTTTTGTTGTCAAATTCGAAGTAGATACTTTTGGACAGCATCCTGGAAAACAATAATCTTCTACCTGAGATAAAAATTAATTCTTTTCACTTATTTTTAAAAAGAAATCATCTATGGTAAAGAATTATTTACCCAAAATGACCCATTTTGCATTGCATGACCAAGTACAGCACAAACTAATCCTGTAACCAAGTCTTTTGTATTTACATAATTTCCTGTGAGCTTTACTCGCATCATTTCATCTTCCAAATATACATAATCTTTGTCAGAGTAATAATAAGAACTTGGTGGTGAAGCAGCAATTTGAAGCTCTTCACTAAGTTCACGTAAAATTGATGGTTTAAGTTCTTGGTGCTTATACAGTGTCCCAATTAGAATACAACGATTATCAAACATATCTTCTGTAGCAAGTTGAGTAAGTTGTAACACATGGACTTGCCCTGTGAAGTATATTATATCCATTCTATTTAAATTTCAGACATAATTCAATTCTGTCTGAATATTCAAGATACATACCCCATTTCGAGTTTGCTCTCTCTATAACAATTTCCTTTAAAGCTGCTAATCTAGCCAAGTATATACAAGAGTATTGTTTATCGAAAGATCTCAAAGTAAGAGTAAATCTAAAGAAATCCTCAAATTCAATGCATTTTCTCTCAATTGTTTGAGAATTTTCATCTCTCGGAAAGGACATCACTAATCTTATTACGCCTGCGATTATTTTTCCCCACATTCAAACAACTGTCAAGCAAGAAATCCCATTTTTTAATCTACTTTAATTTACTACCGGCGTGTTCCGATATACCCTGTGACAACGAATTCAGACGTACATAGAAGTGTATTTCTTATGGCCCTCTTGAAGCTCGATTTTGTTGGGGATAGGGGTTAGTTCCTATCCCCAATGGGTAGAGGCGCTGGCAGCACCGCTGGCTCTGTGTGGTACACCAATATATCACCGACGCGCGTAAAATACTCTAGATACCAGAAAAAGAACAGGCTCCGCCTTTTATTCTATCCTATCTCTCGTTCTCCTACAGCTGTAATGCCTTGGGGATATGATGCGGTCTCACTCTTGCGCTCCACCTCCTCTAATCCGTGGTGGGGATTTCACTCTCGCTCCGTCTCTCATAGTCTTAATACACTGGGGATATGATGCGATCTCACTCTCGCTCCGTCTCTCGTACTCTCATAGTCTTAATACACTGGGGATATGATGCGATCTCACTCATAGCACAGTCGACTGCAAACGCGATGATCCCAGGTTCGAGACCCTCGTATGTTACTTTTATTTTTTCGTTACAAAAACTGTTTTATATTTTTGTGAATTCTACACTTTATTATTAATCAAATATAATTATAAAAATCATTAATTTTTTTTATTTTTTATGTTTTAATATAAAAAATATTTCAATACACAATTAAAGCAATTGAATAGTTCGTAACTATGAGTAATAATTATAATATCAATTTTTTTACGAATGTGGAAAGGTCTGTTTGCTACATCACAATTTCCTTTAGTCCTTATTTATTTTCAATTTTAATATGCCGTGTGAAAACACGGCATCTTAACGTAATACCGAAGTCTCACTGGGTTCTATCTTTCTCTCTCGTACAAACACGATTGCCAATGGCGCTACCTCACTCGCACCACACATAGCCACACAGTCACCATGGCTTTTAGTATAATACTCCGTCTGAAAGTGCGAAAGAGATAGACGCAATATACGATACTCTCCCTTTTTCAGACCGCCCACTGCCACACAGTCACCAAGGCTTTTAGTATAATACTCCGTCTGAAAGTGCGAAAGAGATAGACGCAATATACGATACTCTCCCTTTTTCAGACCGCCCACTGGCGTGGCCTGGCGTGTTCGAGTTCTGACTGACATCCCAGCGCGATCGTCGCGCCATCGAGTGGATATTTGAGTCGGAGAATACTTGCAGAGATGAGTAGGGAGATTGCCAATGAGCCTGTTTTTGGTGGTCTCAACTTTTCTCTGGTTTCGGCGCGCCACCTTAGCGGAGGGCCCTCGAAGCAGTTCCACGTTTTTGATTGGTCAAAATGGTTTGGTATAATAATTATTTAACTGTAATTCCACTTATTTCTCAACCATGTCTAACCAGTAACAAGGTAACTTGGCATGTCAGTTCTTCTTGTTTGTTCAAACTCAAAATAAAAAGACTAAAATTTTCAATTAAAGAACACTAATATAAAAATCCTTATATTCGAAGGAGCTATCAGAATAGATCATTTTGGTAAATCAAACAAACCTGAGTGATAAGCACTCCAATTATTTACAGAGGGACAGCACAAGTAATTATGATACCATCTTATTGAAACTTACAATAATTTTAAAAAGCTATATAATTTCTCCTTATACCATTATCAGAGTACATAAAATTAATACAATACTTCAAAAAACTTAAGAGATGTTTACACAGTGTAGAAAACATGCCAAGAAATTAACATACTATTATTATTTATAACATGCATTCATTTACGGACTTAGAGGTTCTTCATATAATGATACCGTCATAATTGCAAAATATTACAACCTATAATCAAATTAACAAAAGCTCTAGTTTCAAAAATCGTAATGCCCTTATAAGGGAAGAGGCACAAAATACACTGAATATCTTGAACGATCTACACAATTATAACTGGCAGTCTATTGTTTTGACATGTGGTCATAAGATACTTTTAAAACAATACAATAATTGTTAAAAAATATACTAGAATTACAATGAAAATCCAGTCTTACCCCGTACTGTCATCGGTAAGCCTTTCGGTGTAGAGCGAGTCTTCCTCGTCGAACTTTCCATTACTGACAGTTTGCGTTTGCTCGTATACTATTCCAAAACTGGAAAGGTCGAGACTGTCATCCAGACAGTCCTGTAAATCGTGTGTCACGAGGATATTATCAAAATTTCCGTCAATTCCGACATCGTTTCCATCAGCGTTAAATTTTCCACTTTCCCACGTCGCCATATTTTTTTGTGGCTGCACAAACAAGTCATGAAGTAATACTGACATAGATGCGCCACCTAAATTCATCGGTCCACTGAACTCTATCCATATTGGAATCTGTACGCCAGTATTCGGAGGTAACCCGCGGCGTGTTCCAATATACCCTGTGAGCACTGCAATATGTGACGTCATTGAAGTATACTGTTGAAGCATTCCATTTTCGTTAGCGCCAGTGTTTATAACTGGTTGGGAATAATATTGGAACGTTTTTCAGTAACTGGTGAATTGTACAAATAAAACAAAGGGAGGCGATACCAAAAATATGATTATTTGCACCAAAACAAAAGAGAAAAAAATAAGATGATCAAAAAGCTATCATTTACCATTTTGTGCACATAATGATTGTTCTGGTGTTACACATATTTCGTACAAAACGTTTGTTTCGCCGTCAATTAAAGTTACCTTCACCATTTTTCCCGCCTATTATTGTAGGGAGTGGGGGACCACTGGGACTACCTTACCTATGGGAGCTCAGGCGCTTACAGTGAAAAAATGGGAGAAACTTATGACGTCATTAAAGTTACTAGGCACTGCCGCAGTGCACTGTACTCCAATATCGGAATGAAATCTGCAGTACTGGCAGTACTGCCAGTGTATATCGGAACACGCCGTACGTCAGTGAAGTTAGCCGGGCAATTTTAACTTTTTAAATTTTTATCATACCAAGGGTGCGTTCCACTTAACGCTCGCAATGCTCGCGTCCACGACCGTAAGATTTTGTGTTCCACTAGCTTGTGGATTGTTGTGGACGTCGTGGTCGAAAACTTAAGTGGAACGATTTATCGGACTTGTGAACGTTACAAAGATGGCTGGTGTTGTAGAGAATATGTGTATAAGGCTAATGTGTGAACGGAATTATGTTTCTGAGATTTCATCAAGCTCAGATGACGACCCATTATACAGGAATCATTAATCATGAAAAAAAAAACCAAAACTCGATTTTTAAAATGTTCTGTATTTATATACAAAAGGAAAGAACTAAAAAATATTGTTTAAGAATTAAAATAACAAACTTAAACTGACAACACCCTAATAGTTGAGATTATCCTCTGATAATATTAATCTCCATTAATAATATCTAGGTAATTAATATCTGTAGAAATAAACTAAACATTTGAAAATAAAACAGTGATTAACGATTAAAGGAACGAAATATATCTATTTGTCCCTCTCAGAATCGTACAGCGTTATTTTTTCAGTCTCCATCATAAATTTGAATTGAAAATGGCGCACAAAAACATCAAACGACCTCAAGGACCCACATGTTTGATGTGGGCGAAGCGATCGCATCGCGGTCGCCAATGATGACGTCATCGAGACGTTTCAGGGACTGCTCACAGCGACCGCGGCCTTAAGTGGAACGAGACAGAGGGTGTTGCGATCGTTGCGAGCGTTAAGTGGAACGCACCCCAAATCGATTGGTGGTCGTTTGTTGGTCATTGGTGGCCTAATAAAAACATTTGGTGATCAGTCATTCTTTTATAATCAAATAATAAAAATTTGACCGTGAAGTCAGCCGAAATTTTTTTTTTCAACGAATTAAGTTTTCCAGGTGCTCAATCAATGCGTAATCGTTTGGTGGTAACGAATATCATAATTAAAATGTTTGGTAGTCGTTAGTTTTCGTAAAAAATTAAAGAAACGATTGCAGTATCCAGCATTGACTGGATATGGGTGTAGGAACACACATTTACGGTCGATAAAACAGATATTTCTGAACAGATTCTCCCTTCGAAAGAATTAATCAATGCAAGAACGCTAGCCGATGATTGGTAGTCTAATTAAAACATTTGGTGGTCAGCAATTAATGCACGAGGTAGAAAGGTGTGTTGACACTCGTTTGCATGGGGATATTCGGAAGTGTCATAAAGTTGATACGCGCAAGCGTCATAAATTGCTCGGGCGCCATACATTGCGCCAAGGGGGTCATAAATCGAGTACACGCAGGGATCACAAACTACGTCATGGGTGTTTCTCGAGTGTAAGAAACCCCAGTAGCAGACAAGCGCTATTAAAACAAAAATGTTATTAATAAACCTTAATTGCTTCACTTGTATAATAGGTGAATCTCATTCGGAGGGCTTTAACGTTCGTATTGAAACCTTTAGTTTTCAGTTTGGCTATATCACGCGTGAATAAATAGCAAAAATCCAACACGGCCGCTTCTCAGCGATCTTTAGCTGGGCCGTTTACCCTATCAGTCTTTGAAATAAAATAGATGTGCCACTATTTCACGTTGTGATGGCTTAGTCCTCCCCGTGCGCAGAGCTTTATCTAAACTTTTTCAGAGACAGGCTGCTACACAGACTTGTGTCCTTGTTATCTCTCTCTACGCGGCCCCCAAACTACCATACTGATTCCAATATGGTTAGAGTCACTGAACTCTAAAAATACGGCCAAACTCTCGGCCGTGATTTTACTACGTTCCATGTTCAATATAGTTCAGTGAGAGCTACCAAGGGAAATTGAGTTTCTTATGCAATTTCGGCACTATTCTACGGAAACCTGGCATGGTCATTGCACACACAGTCTTGGTTGGTGTTAAAATCACAATTTCGTCGGCGTAAACATCTAGGTTTGTTCTTTCGTTACCTACACCCTGAAAGCAGCTGGAAGTGTGTACAAAGAGCGTATGTGTAAATGCGATGTTTGTGCTTGCTGAATTAAAAGATACAGTGAGAATTCCTCCCTGGAAGTTTAAATGTAAACTAAATGATGCAATTACTGATGAGCTGAATAGGAAATTGGCCAACAAGGTATTTTATTCGTTTTGACTAACATTAAATATAGGACTCATAATAATCGTCAATTTTAGGTTTACTTGAATGTAGGATTGTGTATCGCTTTACATGATATTACAAACATTGAGGAATCATATATTTTTCCTGGAGATGGTTCTTCACATACGAAAGTCATCTTCAGATTTATCGTTTTCCGCCCTTTTATGGAAGAAATTCTTATTGGTAGAATAAGAAGTTGTAGTGTCGATGGTGTTCATGGTATTTTTTCTATTTTCCTGTTAATGTATACATCTATTTAAAATGGTTCTAATTTATTCTTTCTATATGTTTTCAGTTACATTGGGATTTTTTGAAGATATTGTTATACCTCCACATAAACTTCAACATCCATCAAGATTTGATCAGACGGAACAAGCATGGGTTTGGGAGTATGATACAGGAGATGGAGAAAAACATGATCTTTTCATGGATGCAGGTAATGCTTTAAAATTTTATATTGAAATTCATTTTAATGAATTGTTATTAATTAATGATCATTGTTTTATATTATTTAGGAGAGATTATCAGATTTAGGGTAGTTAGTGAAACATTTACCGAAACACTACCATCTGGTCCTGCTACTACAAGTGATTCTGTTGAGAAACCAGAAGTAAAAAATACTTTACCGTACACATTGAGTGTGAGTATCGAATTGTATATTTTATTCTGTACAATACAGAACAATTTTTCATTAATTATAATTAATTCTTAGGGTGCCATTGATGAACCAGGATTAGGTCTTTTAACATGGTGGGAAAATACATAGCAAAAACAAAATGAAGTGGGAATTATTTTGTTAGAGGAACAAAGCAGACAAGAACAAGTGTTCAAGGAGGACAAAACTGTAAATTTTGGACAATATTTTTATTTGACTGTATATCGTATCTTGTTCTGGCTTCTGTAGTTATTTATTCTTAACACTAGTTACCCTATTAGTAAAGAGCCACAATAAAGTGACGCAATTATTCGAAACGATGTCGAGTCTGTATTTTTGATTAGTAATTGAATTTATACTTTTTTTGTACAATATATACAAAGTCCTCGCTCGCGGCTTATTTCATCTTAAAGACATAAGTTGACGGAAAATATATTCACTTGTAAAAATTATACTTCCCTACGTTCTAACAGCGGCTTGACATGCGTTGAATAAAATTACGTATCGTCAATAGCGAAGGATGTTTATGAATGGGTCTGAATGATTAATCATATATATACCTTTCGATACATCCATAACGTCAATGACGACCGTGGGACTTACAATAATTTAATTAAAATTATCAACAATCTCATTCACACAAAATATTTTAAGAATATATATTACTATACGTCGTTAGCTAATGAAAAAAATTTTCAAACTCAGCGAGGGAGAAAATCTTAAATTTAAAGAACACTAAGAAGGTAGGATGTGAAGTTATTCCTACGCGTTACAGTGAATTGATGCAGATCTCCTGACCTTTCATTCTTCCTTTTTCTTTTCCTTTTGAAATTTCATCTCACAAGACACGTTTTATCGAATCACTGACTTAGAGAATAGATTCCTAGAAGTAGAGTATTGTATAACACGATTTGGAATGTTTTTATTAACATTGTGCCCGCTAGGTAGCTCGTCTAAAGCAACGTGACTAGCTCTGGTAACTTTCGTTAATTATAAGTAGCAGACCAAAGGTAAGAGTTGGCAATGCGATGATCTAAACTCTTTTATCATCCATGAAAATGAAACAAAACAAACTACAATAGAAATTTATCACAGTTATAACTGCCGGTCCTGTCGTGCGTCACGTCGCACTTTAAATCTACAAAATCAATACATTATAATTCAACATGCATCAGGAGATCATTTTGATCATCATCTTACTCAACTTATCCCATCATTATTTCTTGTACTATACAGAATCTTTGGAGAAGCAACGCATAAAGCCTTTCAATGCCTCTTCTATTTTGTCTTAACTGTAGAAACATAACTTAACATAACTAATACAATTTTTAAGATAATAGTAGCGACGTGAGATTTCAACATAAAAAACGAAATTCGGTTCGACGTTATATTGTGGTCAGTGATAATGAGCAAAATTGTAAGTCTCGCTTTTAAAAACAGAGCAATGGCTGCTACACCCCTGCAGCATCAGTATTAAAAAATGTTCTAGACTGTAATCTTATGTATACCAGTACGGACAACCACAACTAAGAACGATAGGATCCTCCGAGTGATTAAAATGATATATATGACCGAATTATACCAGCAGAAGGCAGTTGAGTAACCCCATGTTATTCATCTGTACTCGTAATAATCTCGTTCAGATTCCTCTATAGCTAAACTCTCACTTTCCTGCATATTGCTTAGCGTGAAGTCTTTAAAATACTTAAAGACTGCAGCATCTCGTTTCGGTCCATATACTACGAGAGGCGCAGCTTCTGATAACGAGTGCCGCCAATCTCTTGAACGTAGTCGATATAATAAAACGTAGAGAACACTCAGAATTTTATTACACGATGATACTTCACTCTATGATCAGGCATCTTGGTAGGTGTTCGCGTAGATAATCAAAGAGTTCACGAGATGTTCCTGGACAGTTGGTTAATTCTAGCTCGTGTAGATGACGCAATTGTATTAAGCTGGATAATCCACTGCTTGTTAACAATGGGCAACCTGTAAATAGCTTTATATAAGTACAGGTTGACTTAATGTATACTATAGTTTATATGAAATTAGTATATATTATTATAACTCTTACCTGCTACCGAAAGCACTTGAAGTGATCTCATTCCGCATAGATGCTGAAGTCCAAAGTCTCTCAGCTGCGAACACCAGCGTAGGAATAAAGCGCTTAGGGAACCCATTGTGGATATATAACCTACACCGATGTCAGTAACATGGACGCACCTGCAAGGAAAACTATTTAAGTGACATTGCATATAATATAAAGAGAAGTACAGTATATTTTCAGTATACAGGATGAGACGCTTAAGCGAATATCCGGCAAAAGCTGTCAGGCTCGTTTGGCAAACATGGCAAAGACTCAATTGGCGCCAACGAATTACGCCATCCGATAAAACTATCCGCATTCTGACATTTCCTCAGTGCAAATACGAAATGTTAGGTAACTACTGCTCTTAAAGTGGAACACTTGGCAGCATTTTTTACATTCATCTTACTACGTAAACGAGAGGATCTAGTTGGTCCCACTGACCTGACACAATTAATTTGGATTTGAATTTTGCAAATTCGTAAGTGATCGTCGCGAATCTCTTCCCCACGATTTTACATACTTTATTTTAAATATTAAACGCGAATATTAATAGACTGTGAATAAGCTAACCTTGTCTGGAATGTGTTTATTAATAAATACGTAAACTTTTCCGTAGTCTAGACTTATTCCGTCGAGGTGATTCATAGGAGACTAAGAGTACTATTTCAAAGTTACTTTAACTTTTGCTTAACTTAAGCACAACGAAGTGATATTTTATATAGTCTAGTCAAATAAAATTTTCACTATTTTCCTAAGCATTATTATTGTCGAGAAAGCTATCCCTCTTACCTGTCCAATGTAAGCTCTTCCAAATGATTCAAATCACAGGCAATATATTCCAAGGCTGCATCTGTTATCCTGGGACACCAGCTCAGATCCAATGAGCGAAGTCTTGGCAGATTCTCTGCTATCAACTCGACACCATCGTCTGTTACTTTGCTACAGCCAGACAGTGAAAGCACTGTCAAGTTGGGCAAAGAATGCACTGAAAACCGAAATTCATTTATATCAATACCTTTATCATACTAAAAAAATTCCTTAAAAATACAAAAAGCTATTTTAGGTATTAGGAACTTAAGTAATGGTTTATTTTTTTTTATATTTCCGAAGCGACTGACTAACCACACTATATAGGTATTGATTATCAATCTCTACAAGCAGGAGGTGATATAAATAACAAGGAGGCAGGCCGTTGTCCTCAAATTGACTGCACTGTTAACTAACAACCTGAGCAGGGGGTTGCTGGTGAAAGCTTGAAATCTAAATAAAGCCCTCTTCCTTAATTCTAAATTTACTCCACAGCATGTATACGTATGAGAGAGACTCGTTGTTTGCCGTTACGACGTCACTTGCAATTAACATCTTGAGAAAAAGATCAGAACTTAATTTGAAGTTATGATCATCTCATGTTCAACCATTGCCCTCTGATATCTTTTGCTACTTGTTAAAGTTGCTAAAGAACTACATGTTTCTTAAGTAATTGTATTTGATCTTCGGGCTAGAGAACCATCATAAAAACAAATAAGATGACAAGGCTTGCGTCATGTGTTCTAATCAACGCCTGGACGTTTCTGTGTGTAGAACTGTTTTCTGCGATCCACGACCGAGGTTCTATTAATGGTGCACGAGTTAAAAATGTGATAATTACGTTGCCACGACATAACGATACTTGTAAACCAAATAGTGGAGGAAGGTGAAACTCTGGACACTTGAAAGTGTAAAGAATATTAGGATTAACAGTGTTCGACGTACTCGCAGAAGGAGAAATATCTTATATTTTGATTTTGTAATGACAATAATATTCTCCAAGTTCTCATCACTAATTCAGTTATCTGAACAAGTAAACAGTTATATTTATGATACAATAATTAGGATATTGAATAAAGTTTTTTTTGAAAATTCTTGTCAGAAGTAGCATGTATAAATATTGATTGTTTACTGATTCTATCAAGAATTTGATTTTGATTTCGAAAGAAAAAAAAAAAGGAAAAATGTCTTTTCTCTGAAAGGATTTTGGCTCTGTGCCAAGATACTAACAGTTACAAGACTCGTAAATTTCCACGATCTTCAAGTATTATGACGTGACACTCTAGAGATTCATTGTCTTTACTCGATGATAAGTATACTGTTAAAAATTTATGTTTGATAATGATAAAACGTATATGAATTTTCATATACTAGTACGCAAGAATATAACGTTACCGGCATATAAAAAAGAATGAAATATTTTTCTAATAATTATATACACAAGTATATTAAATTTACACTATAATCGGGCGAATATTCGAAAATAGAATTCAAAAATCAGTTGGCTGTGGTATATTAAACTCACGCAATAGGTGGTTTAAAAAAAAATAAATTGGAAAATATAATTTAAGAATTTAATTTAAATTTAGTCTGCAGTGGGTAAATTTTGATAATCTGGAAGCCAAATTTGAAAATTAAAGTACTCCAATATATTAAATTTCGTTAGGCTATTCGCATAGGTGTCAAAGATGTAAACAATTTTGATTTAATTTTTATTATTACTAACTATAACACCAATAAAGAAGGCGCGATTTGTTAAATAAAAATATTTGGAGAATTGGATAAAATGTATTTTTTAGTTTACCGGGCACACAAAATGTTTGACACGTCCATAATCTGGGTAATTTTTATAACTACAATGAAAAGAATTTTCAATAAATTGTTTTAATTATTAAAGGCACCTTTGTTAACTTTCAACCAAATTATATTAAAAATATAAAAAAGTTTAGGGATTACTGTTACCCTTACAGAGGACATTATTTTAATATACATGTTATGTACGTCAATTTCAATATACAGGGATTGAATTCGAGACTAATTATTCTAAGTTATTAGGGTTCCAATACAAGGTATATGAAGTCTAATTTCGTATACCTAGTTTGTACATTTCATATGACTATGCATATTAAACATGTAAATTTACATCCTAGAAAATTAACCTCAATATTACCAAATATTACTTTGACTAAATCTTACCTATATTGACCACTCCATGATTCGTGAGTTCCCAACAGCTCTGCAGCCTAAGAATGCTCAAGGATCCGCTTTGTTTAGGACTGAAGTATCCAAGAGCTGCGTCCGTAACGTGATAAGCTTGCAGCGAAAATTCATAGAGGCTGGGTAACAGTTGAGCAACAGCACCAACAGCTTCATCAGCAACGTTAATACAGTCGGATAAGGATAACGAGACTATCCTGGGAGTGAGACAAGCCCAGAGACCAGCTTCAGTTATCTCATTACAGCCTGCCAACTCGAGCTCGAACAATGCCTACATACATAATTATTCCCTTCAGATACTTGCCAGAATATAATAATGATCTACATCCTTATAAATTTCCTAAAGGTTACCTGAAGATGATCAAGCAATGCTTCCAATCCTCTGTCAGTAACAGCACAGCAACGTAACGACAAGGAGTGCACGTGTCGTTGCGCTAATGGGAAGCTGTGTGTCAATTCAAGAGCATCTTCATCAGCAGCACCAAGTAGTACCAAAGAGTGAAAACCTCTTCTCACTAGACTGGCATAAAGACGTGCCCTGGAACTTGAAGCCATTGCACGTGCTTCCCGGCATCTGACTACTGGCACAAGACCGGCCCATAGTCTTGGTCTAGCGTAAAGAACGTCCCTCCATCTTGAGCAAACCTGTAAAAGAAAAAATTATGTGACAAGAGCTTAGTACGAGCTTCGAATGTCAATAGGCTTACAAATTTACTTCGTATTTATATACCTGTGCAAGAATTTTTCTCTCCCCAGCATTAAAGAACAGGAAGAATCTTCCAAGGAAATGATCATCCTGTGTAAGCTGATCCCAGGTACAGGGTGGTACGTATCCACCGGTACCACCACTAGCTAAGGGTACATTCTTTGACCTATTCGACCTGCCTATTCTGGTTCTATTGCTGGTACAATTGTTCAATCCTTTATTGTTACCCACAGCTGGATTATTGCTTGGCATTGGGACACTCCGGCTCGGCTTTTCGGGAATAGCATTCGCATTTGAACTTTGCAGATTTGTATTTGCGCCACCTCCTCCTCCGCAAAAGACATTTGTAACTCGTTCCATAACGCTCGTCTTTCCGCCGCCTACGTGAAGAAAAAGAAGAGTCACAATAATATTGGGGATATTCTAAGATTGTAGAAAAAATATACAATACGTAGCATTAATATCCTAGAATAAGTATGCACAATGAGTAAACTCAAAGTATAAACTGTTAATTGATTTCCAAAAGGAAAATTTATTTTCTTATTCTTGATTTTATCCTGGATGGATAGTTTCTGGCATGCGTCCAATTTCGACCTGTGCCTGGATCTGATTCAAAGCCTCTCAAACAGGCACATAAGTAGTCACATAATTCTCTAATACAAGGACGAGTTTTTCAAGTTTATCCTTCGGTACTGACAACGTGAGAAGAATACTTTGATAAACAATGTGCTGTTCTGTCTCTATAATTCAGTCAAGTATCGAACGATATTATATTGATCCCACTGCAGTTACAATTCCAGTGATTGTCAATATAGGTGAAATGCACGTTGTAGAATACATTTATAGAGGGCTAAAAGGTGTGAATTATTAATTCATATATCGTAACGATAAGAATCGATTTGTTCTTACTAGGGATGAGATTAGCATGTGTTAATATCACTCAAGCAAAGAAATGGGATATATATCAGTAAGCTGAAGCTTTATATACGAACCATGATGCTTCGAGGATCCGCGAAATCCCAAAACGTTGATCCTTTTCGTCAATTCTGCACTGGCTCTCTCAACGACTCCTTGGGCGGATATCGAAGACATTTCTCAAGGTCCACTTTTTATTTAAATCGTTCCCTTCCGACTAGGTCGACTTGTAGTCAAGAAGAGCTGACATTTGTATGCTTGTTATTTAATTTCGACATATTTTATTTTTACGGTGTCGGATGCACCTTCTCAGTTCCAGATATACATTTATATCCTTCAGATATGAATTTAACCAGAAAGGATCTTTTCATATATCTAAAGACTAATTATCCAGCGATGATAAATTATTCAACACCGGATTATATATATCAAGAACGTGAAACACGATTTCAAATGGTGACGAACAAGAGATTATGGACAAAATATCCTGACAATTTATTCCCATTGAATTATATATTATCTCTCTGTTTCTCTGGCATGTGATGTATATGTCAAGAGCTGTTATTAATTTGAAAAATTCTTGTAGTGATATATGAAGCAGCACGTAGTGATACTCTTCTGCGAGGAACACTTATTCCACAATATATTGAAGAGCGAGCAATGGAGTGTGATGTGCGGCTGTTTAAAAATCACCTTACAAAGCAAATCAATACCGCGAAAGCTAGCGGCGTTCTCAGGAACGTTCGAACATCTCGTAGAGTCGTTTTCAGGATCGATGTGAAGAAGATTCACCAAATAATATTTTATAGATATATTTTATACATTTTTATTTATTATATTTGCAATAAGCCACTGTATATTTATTGACTCGTAAGGAGAGCATTTCTGTCCAAGAAGTGAACTAAAACGTGAACGGAGCACTGGGTATACGACGAGGCAATGGCTCGACAACGGGGGTGGTTTCAGCGAGACTGAATCGATACCCGCGCTGAACTTGTTCGGGCGCCTCCCACTACCCTCACCGCCGTTGAGCAGTGGTTTCCAAACTAGAGCCAGCAGCACTGCTTGCCTTGTACTGCTCTACATAAAGACTCTAGGATTCACTGCGAATTCTGACGTGATCATATTATATAGTTTACCATAAAGTTCTTATTTATGATAGCATAAACTGTGTTAGACTGGTAGTATATTTATTTTATATTTATATCATCTTTTATAGAATATTTGAAAGAATATTAATTTGATGGAGAACACTATTGTTCCTCGTGACACTTCTATTTAACGTGCAAGCATCTGGTAGGTTCGTTGTTCTACAAAATATTATGTAATAGATTTAGAATGTATGTGAATCATTCGTTAAACTACTTTGTTATATGATTGGTAATTGATTTAAATTTATACTCCCTATTAATGAGGAATGGAGTCTGTGGTAAATGGATTTTTATAGTGGTTTAAGAGAGATTCTAAGGACTTCTTATTTGACTGGCTTTATTGGTCTAGATTTACTTATTTTGATTTTTTTCAGATGTACATGGTGATTAGTCTTTTGTATATTACATAAGCGTCTAGTGATGGCATAAGTTTATGCATGATGTTTCATTGGTTCACTTGCAGTTCCTGTCATAAGACTTCACATCTTACCACGTGCGCATTTCTCGCGCGACTAAAGGCACACTTCGAGTTGTGAGATTTAAATGACTCGGGCTACCGGAAATCACCGGATATTCCCGATATCGATACGAACGTCAAAAGTGAATGTGTGATCGAAAGATCCCTCTCCCGTGCACTTAATTGTTTTTTAAACAAAAATTCATTTTACAAATTTATAAGGGCCGGGAAATTGCACGAGGATACGTTGATAAGGGTACGCGAAATGAAGTAATTTTTATTGTAACATTCATAAATCGTCGCACTCGATGTAGTATTGTAAATTTCGACAGTGTATACAAAAATTCAACAATTCAGACAATTTTCAGGCCAGCGATGGAATTCTCCAGGAGCTTGAAAACAATTTTATTTATTATCAATATTATATTCAATATGTCAAGATAATACCTTATTCCAATTCTTTACCTTTAAATCCCACAGGACCAACTGCCCGTCTAAACTACTGGTACTGAATTCAGTTGGTGACAACTTGCGAATACTGGTAATAGTATTCTGATGTATACTGTCCAGGTTATCCTCACTACTTTCGGTTCTGGCTTGACGATCTAAGGACTGGAATTTTCGCATGGCAGATATACCGGAAGTCTCCTTCTTCTGCATGCTATCCAAGTTTGATACAAAGTAGATCTGACCATTGTCATCTACTGAGTAAAGCAGAGGCATACAGCTATGACCCTGAGACAAAGAATAATTGATCTCTTTGAATAATTATTAATTATTATAAGGATTAGGACACATGCCTTGAGAGGTTCATGATTGCTTACCCCCGCGATTATAGAATTTGATCCCACCCAAATACAACTAGTAAATGGTAAATGCTCAGTGAACAGTCGTACGACTGTATTGCCTTTGGTAGCATCTGCGACGCATATTGAAGAATTATGCGCGACCCAACAAATTTTATTTCCACAAGGACTAAAGGCTACAGCATGAACCCACCCGCCTGGAAACAATAATACTTAATATCGATTCGTTTGGAGTAGTTGTTATTTATCGAAACAAGAGATGTACCTCCATTGGGGGAGTTTGGAAACTCCGCGAGCAGACTACCTAAATTAGGCTGACATCCCCATGCACCGCGTTCTGGCGCTTCTTCCATATCCTTAATGTACGCACTGAATACGCGGACCTTGTAATCCGTAGAACCAGCAACAAGTACTTGATTATCAGGATGCCAATCGAGACACGTTACTGTAGACCTCAGTGGTCGCTTTATGTGCTTTGATACCCACCAATTATTCTCAGATGCAAAGTGGCAAACAGATATCACTCTATCTCCAGTACCAACAGCAAATTTATTTTCTGCATCATATAACAACTGTATAAAAAATCAGCCGATGTAAATTTAATTAATGTAATTAGATTAATACCTTGAGGAGACCATTTAACACAAGTGGCAGCTCGGTTTGTTCTAAGTAAGACCCAAGCAGGAATCCATTTTCCATCCTCGCCTTGGGTCCAAACATATGCATTCCTATCTGCTGAACATGTTACTATACGATTAGTATTAGGAGCCCAATCTAAACCCATTACTCGTAGATCATGCTTCTGTAATATCTCATGAACCTTCCATCCACCTGGAGTACGTTTATACACATGAACGTCATTATTACTAGGGCAAAAGGCAACCTCTGAAACAATAATATCCAGTTCCCTGATTTCCACAAAATCAAACAATGAAAGGTAAAACTGCAGAACACAAGTCCTTCTCAAAGAGCTTCATATAAAAAAAACTAATGAATCCACAGCTAACGTCAAGAAGTAGTTGTATTCTGTGGTTTAGTCCAATAATGTATTTTGTTAGAGAAAAGTTATACAAGAATGACGTACCCTTTCCATCCTTGTTCCATGCATGACAAGAGATAGCATTAGCTTCAAAATTATGTGCTTCAGTCATATCTTATTTAAATAAAATCAAGTAATATTAAAATCAAGTAAATATAACACGTCAAAGATATTATTAAAAAATTGTGGAACAACAATCGTTAAAGTTTAATTTCGCTGTATGAATCACTAAAAGAGGAAATCACTTGGGTGCGGCCGGCGATAATAAAAAAAACTCGTTGAATTAAAATTCACAAAGAATTAACCTGCCTGACCGACTCGTGGAAATTCGCGGACTCTGGTCAGTCTACACGAATTTCCAAAGAGTACAAGTATTGCAACAGGATTCTGTTATCGAAAGAATGCAAAAATTTGACGTGCACGACAGATCATTCGTAGGCAGGGGGTTAGATCCCGAACAACACAAAACTTAGGAAGGTATACGGGTAAACTGCAGCATACGACTCCGAACTGAAGTTGGCTGCTAGTGACTTAGATTTTTAATGTGGCGCCATCTATCAAATGTAATACGAATTGCATAGAATAGTGGCGCCTCCCGATCGGAAAAAAGCGCAACTATCATTAAAAATTTGAAATGAATATATTTTTACTATTATCATATATATTATCTTGTTATAAAAATATATTTTCACAAAATATGATCTAGTAATCGCAATATTCCATGTTTGGAGATTTTTTTCGTTTAATTTTCGTGCTACGCCACACAGGTTTGCATCTATTATGTATACTGAGACGTTTCGTGATTTTCAAGTGTTAGGAATCACGAGACTGTTTATAGGGTTTGTGCACTGGGCAGGCGTCTTTAGAAACAATTTAGACACTGGAGTTTTTTAAAATAATAAAATAATAATATATTGTCCTGTAAATTACAGACTAGTTATCCTTAATATTCTATTTTGCTTTTTCTCTCACACACATACACACACTTTACAATTGTCTCTAGCTTGCTTGTAATACCACAGGCGACAAGAAGTGTTTTTTGTTTACTTTATTATCTCTGCTAGCCTTTTGGATTGGAGAGAGGTAGCTATCACCACAATAGAGCAGAGTGCACAATGTGTCCGAAGACTGTGATGTAGCTAAGGTGTGGAGAGTGAAGATTCAGGACCCACAGATGATCACAATGATATCTGTTCGCCGAACCATTCACTTTAGGGAAGGAAGGAGCTGTGGCCACAATACAGCAGAGTGCACAATGCGTCCGAAGACTGTGATGTAGCTAAGGTGTGGAGAGTGAAGATTCAGGACCCACAGATGATCACAATGATATCTGTTCGCCGAACCATTCACTTTAGGGAAGGAAGGAGCTGTGGCCACAATACAGCAGAGTGCACAATGCGTCCGAAGACTGTGATGTAGCTAAGGTGTGGAGAGTGAAGATTCAGGACCCACAGATGATCACAATGATATCTGTTCGCCGAACCATTCACTTTAGGGAAGGAAGGAGCTGTGGCCACAATACAGCAGAGTGCACAATGCGTCCGAAGACTGTGGTCCAGCGGAAAATAGATGTTGTAAAGATCAGAACCCACAGATGGTCACAATCACCCCCGTTCGCTGTATCTTTACTTCGGAAGGGTTTTTGGTGATGTGAGCAGAGATGAGTAGGGAGATTGCCAATGAGACTGTTTTTGGTGAAGGCAATTTTTCTTTGGTTTCGGCGCGCCACCTTAGCGGAGGGCCCTCGAAGTAGTTCCACGTTTTTGATTAGTCGTGTATATATAGTAATACTACGCGTGATAATCTGGAGCTGTGTTTTGGCGCGTCGACGCGCCACCTGAACGAGACTCTCGAACTAGTTCCACGTTTTTGATTGGTCGAATGAATTCGTGCGTTCCTCGAGATCCGCGATTTTAAACCGGGTGAACACTCAAATAGGGAGACTTGTATCCACCTTTTTTTTTACAGGATATTCCATAAACCGTAGTAATAAAGTAGTCAATACCCTTAATATCCATATGAAGCTCTGGAAATAATAGAGTAAGCAAATAAAACTTAAAAAAAAGAAAAATTGAGACCACCAAAAACAGGCTCATTGGCAATCTCCCTACTCATCTCTGGTCATACCTCCGCTGCACGGCGAGCACCAAAGGCTTCATACCTCGTGCATTAATTGATGACCGCCAAATGTTTTAATTAGACTACCAATCATCGGCTAGCGTTCTTGCATTGATTAATTCTTTCGAAGGGAGAATCTGTTCAGAAATATCTGTTTTATTGACCGTAAATGTGTGTTCCTACACCCATATCCAGTCAATGCTGGACACTGCAATCGTTTTTTTTTTAATTTTTTACGAAAACTAACGACCACCAAACATTTTAATTATGATATTCGTTACCACCAAACGATTACGCATCGATTGAGCACCTGAAAAACTTAATTCGTTGAAAAAAAAAATTTCGGCTAACTTCACGGTCAAATTTTTATTATTTGATTATAAAAGAATGACTGACCATCAAATGTTATTATTAGGCCACCCATGACCACCAAACAACCACCAATCGATTTGGTATGATCAAAAGTTAAAAAGTTAAAATTGCCTGGCTAACTTCACTGAGGTGGTATACTTGCAACGCGGCAATCTATGTGGTGCCCTCTGATATCTTAATATGACAAGGCAAAACCTTACATGCTGAGTTATTACCGACCGATTATATAAACATTTTCATCTTTTTGACTAAATATGAATACAGTAGATACCATCGACATATAGTACTGGACTGCTCACTGTAGCTGCAGAAAGTGTAATCGAGAATAGAAAGAGAGAGCAAATCGTAAGGACCGTGCTGTCCTTCTCTTGGGCAGGAGCGGAGTCAGGAATAAGGGAACCCCGCGCAGTAAAATGTATGTTTCACGATGAACTTTATTTATATATTTTATAAGTTTAAGAATTGATTTAATCTTATGTTAATCATAAAATTTAAGGTTATTTTTCGATTTTACTTAGTTGTTAAAGCTTATCGTATTGGGCTGAAAATACAGGTCTCGCGGTAGCCCACGCGTAACACAGCGAATCACCATTTTTTTTAGTAATATTGAATTTTGATAAACTCAACTACAATAAAGTAATCACGACAATTGAGATTTGACTCACGGAGGCTTTTGTCTCCATGATTCGACTGTAACAACGTACATACATTCTAGATGTGCGGAGTAATCTTTCACACGGTTCTTATTTTGCATATTACAGTCCTGAACCCCTTCCATCCAGAAACCTTTCGACCAATAGAAAAATTATAGAAAAGGACAGAACGGTCCTTACTATTTGCTCTCTCTTTCTATTCCCGATTACACTTTCTGCAGCTACAGTAAGCAGTCCAGTACTATATGTCGATCGTAGATACTTATGTCTATATGTTCTATGTCGCGCGATTCTGATATGTAAAATATATATGTATATATAGTATTTCAATGGTGAACTTCATTTCTAAGCATCCTTGTCACCTAAGTTTGCGTGACACCACATCCCACCACATTTTCGTCTATTTACGTCTTTAGACTACGGTAGTACGAACCGGCACAAGAACCGGTCAATCAATTTGCAAAATCTGGAAAAATCTCAGATTTTGGAAAACTGCTACTTTTAACTTTCGAACTAAACAAATATTTTAATCTTAAATATTATCACATGATTCACTCGCATATCCTTTACATAATGATAGATAACCAATAACAGCAAGCCACTTTTCTACAACCTTTATGAATGCTTTGTCCACTTAAGATATACATAAACTTTCTTACGTCTATTTCATTCACTTTAAGAAAACATATATTTTTTATACTTATTCGAAGTATCAAACTGGGACATGTTGAAATTCTAGTACTTTTATACAGCAACTACTTTTATTTGCATCGTTGGTATTTTTGCAAAAAATATTTTTGTACGGTAATTTGTCTACTTTTGCGAGAAGATCTACTACTCTGTATGACACAGTTGTTAAGGTTCAGTACAGTTGCACTTTCATCCGACTGCCGTGGTCGAAAAAAAAGGAATAAGTACATTCTCTCTGGTTAACAAGCAAAAATTTCGAAAATTTCGAAAATGAGGAAAGCTCTGTGGAAGGCGCATTAGTAAGGTGAAAGTAAGACCTGTGCGTCACGTAAAGGAAGATAGCGAAGGTCTGTCATTATGAGAAGTGGTTATGTTTTTCGCTGGAGAGCTGTTTAACGACAATGGCGGCAATGTCCCCGTCGAAGGTGAGTCGTTTCTCCACTTTCGCAAGAATTTGTTGAAATTTTCGTTTATATCTGTTGCAACAAGTTATACTTGGATAGTAAGAGATTCTTTGAATATTAAGGGTCTGGACAACGCAAATGATTGACGTTCATATTAAGAGAAATCTGTATATCGGTACTATGAATGCATTTTAATCATCCTTCTGGGCCAAAGTGACGTTTCATATTAAATCAATTCAAGTGCTTGTTTATCTTGTTGACATTCTGGAAAAAAATAGATTTGATCATCACATGCATCTTGGAGATAATAATTGCTATGGTTTATGTTGTCTCCTTTATGAATTCTAAAGTGTTATTTTATAAATACTGATATACTGTTATGTTGCTTCAATGTTTTTTTCTTATATTTGACTATATGATATGGTTATTATTCCATGCTTCTTTCTTTATGTTTTCCTAATACGAATTTCTTTCTTGTTGTATTATCCTGTGATAAGTATTCAATGGAAGGGTAATAACTAATCTTCAGATACCATTCCAGACATTATTTATGATCAATCTTCATTTATGTCAACAGAAGTGTTGTATAAAATCTATCTATCCACTTACATGCAAGAAGTTTATTTATTATATAAATCACTAGTCTTATATGGTTTCTATAAAGTATTAGGATATAGATTCTTTCTTTCTTAATCTGCTTAATATATTGCAGCGGAGATTACAGAGGGAGTTGATGTCCTTGGTGCGTGAACCTCCTCCTGGAGTATTTGTTGATGGCGATGAGGTGGGTCAGAATCTAACACAATGGATTGTTCACATGGAGGGAGCCAAAGGGACATTGTATGAAGGAGAACAGTTTCAACTACAATTCAAATTTAGTTCCAAATATCCGTTCGATTCACCAGAAGTTACCTTTATCGGAGGTAACATTCCAGTACACCCACACGTCTATAGCAATGGTCACATTTGTCTATCCATTCTGACGGATGATTGGTCGCCAGCACTGAGTGTGCAAAGCGTATGTCTCAGCATAGTTTCTATGTTAAGTAGTTGCAAAGAAAAGGTAAGTATTGTTCTTACTCCAAATGAAACTTCAGTGACAGTGTTTCCTCCAAATAAAACTATCCGTTCATTCTTACAGAAAAGGCCACCAGACAATTCCTTTTACGTTAAGACATGCAATAAAAATCCAAAAAAAACAAAATGGTCATACCATGGTAAGATTGATCAGTAGATAAATTTTTTTTTTTTAAATGTAAACATAGCTTATCAAAATGTATATTTTTTCTACAGACGACAGTGTCTAAAATTGCTGCTAGAATTACACTTGTCTAGGCTTGACAGTGTCTGGAGAAATTATAAAATGTACGTTGCGAGTACAATAATAAAGATAAATGAAGTCACTACTAAAATTGCCAAGAGTATATCTATCGTAAATGTAGGAATCAAGTACTATAAATTAAAGGCTGCGAAGTAAAATTTATTGTAATAAAAAATAAAAATGTAAATCTCATGATTTATTCAATGTTAAATTATTATGGTGTTGATTGTAACATACATATTTATGTAATCAGTATCATATAGTTCATTGAACTGTAGAGTTAGGATTTAAAGGGCAAGAATGCAGAAGGGAATAATAATACATGAATAATAACGAGTAAATGATTAATAGTAAATTGAATAAAGCTTATAACTAGCACAATGATGATCAGTATAGTTACTTCATGATATGTGTAAAACTATGTTAGGTGTAAATCCTATCTTCAATTTCTATAGTTACGTTAATAAAAAAAAACTATCTGGAAGTTGTTTTAACGGTTCCGTCTTTATCTTTATAAATTAAATAAAAATAACTATCAATTTATACAATTACAGACGCTTCGCAGATAGCACATAAATCCTTAAGTTATCTTTAAGATACCTTAAAAACAATCTTTATCGTATTAGGCAATATTAGACGTGTACTCCATGACTTTTGAACTTTGTTTTATGATTGGGTTGGTTCCGGTATCTAAGAGTTTCGTGTTTGTAGCAAGTTAAATAAAACATGGCGCCGCAATAGTAATAGATTATCTTTCAATCAGAAAAAAAAATTCCGTAAAACGAATTGTAATTTTAGTGTAATATAAAGAAATAATTATCTAAGAATGCATCTTGGAGCGAACGTGCGTATAAGTAAAATTGGACTTTGTGTGACAGTTGGCTTTTTTATTCTATTGTATCTTTACTCAACTCGAGGACCGTCTTACTCCAGTATAGACAATAGATATGTTATTTCCTTGAAAGCACTCCTTGCTGGATCTATAAGGGCTGCAAAAATGGGAGGATCAGAAGTAGTTTTGGTCCATAATCAAAACCGATTGAATATTGAGAGTAAAGGAAAAACCAAAGAAGGTAATTTTTCTTAGGTTATATTGGCTGTCAAAATCAGCTGATGGTGCATCTTCAAACGATTCTTTTTAATTTTTGCATTGACATTTATTATGTACATTTACATAATTACTATGTACACATGTCACTTGTTATTTTAAATATTGTACAGGTGTTAATGATCCAGTGACAGCTGCAGACTATCGTTCTCACTGTGCTATGTATCATTCATTGATTGAAGCCTTTCCAAAAATTACTGTGATATCTGAGGAAATGTCTAAGGGATGTGATCAAATAGAAGTGCCAAGTTTAAAAGATACTATTAAAGAATTAGATCAATACGGTATTGGTTCTGACATTGCTGCTAATGCTAATGATGTCACTGTTTGGATAGATCCCCTAGATGCTACAAAAGAGTTCACAGGTGAATAGCTTCATCTTCATTTTGTGTCAGTTTTATGGTATGTCTTTTATAATATAGCATATTCTATCAATCTAGAGAATCTTTTACAATATGTAACAACCATGGTTTGTGTGGCAATTAAGGGCGAACCTGTAATAGGAGTTATATTCAAGCCCTTTGAACCAAAAACTACATACTGGGCATGGGTTGATCATGGTGTATCGCCAAATTTGAGAAATCTTCCTCAGGTATATGAAACATTTAACTCCTTCTGTCAATGTTTTGTGTTCACTCTGAAATTTATATACAGCCTAAGGAAGGCAGAAATCCTGTCTTAATAGTATCACGCTCTCATGCTGGAAGAGTTCATAATGCATCTAAACTGGCATTGGGGGACAACGTTCAAGTGATTTCGGCAGCTGGCTCAGGTAGTTGTCTCGATAAACTAAATATTTGTGTCAATTAAAACAATAATATACTTTTATAGGCTACAAGTCTCTTGAAGTAGCTGTTGGTAATGCAACAGCATATGTTCACATGACAGCAATTAAAAAATGGGATGTCTGTGCTGGTGCAGCAATCATCAGGTAAAGTAATATTAAAATGGTAAACAGATGAAGTATGTCAATAGCTTTCTTTTTCACAGTGCTTTAGGCGGTAGTGTTACGCCTCTGTCAGGTCCACCCCCTATGGGTTTTGGTCCAACAGATTCGACTTTACTAAACTCTGGTCTGTTAGCCACCATGCAAGATCATAAATGGTACTTAGATAAATTCTACAATGTGTAGAGCTCTTGCAGAGTTTCTGTGGTCTTCACGTCTGGTTACATAAACAGGACTATGTGTTGTAAAACGTATCAAGCGATAAGTGGTCTATGTTATCTCTAGTTATGATAGCAAAATGCTTCCAGTGTTATTATAAAAGTAAATTATGCGAAAAATTCCCTGAGGATTCCAATACTTTCTTTTGGACTATAACAACATGTTCTAACTCTTTTGATATTTTAAATTTCTTCATCAAGACTCAATGCATTATGCACAGTGCATTCTTACACTCATTTGCATTGTGCCTTGCAAATGAATTTAACGTGGTACAAATATTTTGTGATTAGATATTTACCTAAAGTTTGTACATCGCGTAATCATTTGTTGTATCTACAAATGATCATGATCTGTACATACATATACTATAAATCTGAAATAAAAACAATTTGTGAGAGGCAGAATGGTTGTAAAGTATCTCAATAGATTGTTTACAATTATTTTCCTTCACAATTTATTTTTATTTTTATTAATATAATTATGCTTAAGATATTTACATATTGTAATTTTACTTCTACTTAATGTATAACAATAAAAAATTGATTTTTCAATTGTATTATCACACTTTCATTTTTGAAAGTAATTGGTAAGTATAACTAAATGTTCACCTTGATTATCTAATTAACATTATATGAATATACATAGATTGTGATACAGGAAAAACATTTTTGAAAAGATAAATTTCAAGGTGCAGATAACAGCGACATATTCATAACCTCGAACTTCGAAAATCACATTAATCATTGATATTACGAACATTTAAGCTAGAAAAATATGTTCTATAACTGGCTGGATCATGCGAACGTTTTTTACGCTAATCTGACATGGTTTCACATATTCAGTACATTTGTGTCATTCTTTGTTGTGATTGCAACTGTTTGGATCTGTCATAATATTCAGGAAAAGGAAGTAAGATATCAAATAATACTTAATGATTATTTAGATAAAAATGAAGAGAATAATGGGTTTTATAATTATCCCATTTAAATAAACAGTCTTTCTGTCATTTGATAGTTTATTATTAATTTCTAATGGTACTTATATACACTGCAGACCATTAGACAAAAAAATGACAAGGACAGTCCGATAGCAAAAATATATGGTCTACAGGCACAGTATAAACAAGCAAGACTAAAATTGGCTGAACAAAAGTTGACTCCTCAACAACGTAGCAAAGAGAAGGAGTAAGTGAACAGAACATATCAAATGTATGATGAGACCTGCTTGCATTCTTGCTTTTACAGGATGGAGTCTCAGACACTAACAGCTGTGCTACAATTACTTCAAGAAAGGAGTGACATGTTTCAGGTACAAACACTGGACGAGTTAAAGGAACAACTGAGTCTTTACAGAAGTCAATAGAATTGTTTTGACATTCTCAATCGATGTCCCTTATGCATCATCATTGTTTTTATATATTGTTAATACAGTATTAATATAAATGTAATATATATTAATATATATGTATATACAAGAGATGATTTTAGATTATAATATTGCAGAGATAACTCTTTTTATATCCATGGTTCTATCGTGGGGCTCTCTGTACTAATCAAACCTTCATCTGAAACAAAAATGTTCATGATCTTTATAATTTATTTTTCTATGTAAATTGTTTTTTTTGCTTTATTATACAGATACCTGATGATTGTACTTAAATAAATCTGTTACAAGAAGTTCACAGTTATTTTTTTTATAAGAATAATTACAATCATTGTCCAGATTTATGGATTCGTACTCTTGCATACTGCAACAATATAAACCAACATATCTTTCTCCTGGTACAACTGAAAAGCAGCAACGTTCTTTCGTTTTGTCTTGACCATCAGGACACAAAAATTTAACACGATCGTGGCCCTGACAATTTTCAGCATCTAAAGAATAAGAAGAGAATGAAAATTATCACAGAATTAATAATTTGTGAAACACTCTAAACTAAATATATTTTAAATAAGTATACTCACTTATGTAGTTGATACTGAGCCACATAAGCAAAATAAATTCTAAAAGAAGTTTTACCATAGTACATAGACACTTTCAAACGTCCCTCCGATTTTAATATCATCCTAGTGCATTTAACCTGTTAAAGCAGTTTTGACATTTTGTAAACACTACGCTTTTTTTATGAAATTTCATAGACAATTGTTTTAGTGAGACGAAGTTTAAATTATTTAATGGCAGAAGGTTTAGTTTATGTTAATTATTTTCGTTAAATTTTAAATTTGTTATATAAAATTGTAATAATGGCTTAATTATCTTTTTTGGCATCTATATGATATTGATATGAAGGGTATAAAATACACTATTATAAGGATCAGAAGGGATATTAAAATAATTATAAGCCTTATTTCATGGCACAGAAGTTTTCATTGTGAAAGAATAAAATTGGAAGATTTGCCAAAAACGTACAAATATAAAATTTATGAAGCAGAAAGTTAAAAAATTATATTGATGACTTCTGCAGAGCATTTTATTAGCCTGATAACTGTGGCAAGTGCCAAGAAATTGGCCACCATTCTTGTCACATGCTTTATTCTGTATCATGGAGCAATACATCTTATTTACAGTAAGATTTTTTATTACAGACTCAACTATTGCTATTTAATTTATATTAATTTTCTATATATTGGATCTTCAGGCAGCAATTCTTGCAAGTGGCTATTAACAGAAGGGAGATACAAAGGAGACAAAGAATGGCAACCTTATGGTTGTATGATGCATCATTATACACAAACGTGAGAATTTTGATGTCATTAAATTTTTAAATAAGTCATGCTCAAAATATTTGTATTTTTTCAGAGACAGTAGAAGATGTTTACGTTACCTGGCGTTTATGGGTCATCGTAATCATTTTGTCTTCAGTGGGGATGCTAGAATAAGACAGTTATATAAAACATTTGTGTCACAATTCATAGTTCAGGGTAAAGCCTCTGACTTAACAGAATTACCAGAAAATTCAGATTTGACTTTTCATGATGCTCAACTCAGATTATATGTTCAATTTTTATGGAGACCCAAATTGGATGATTTAATGATAGAAGATTTCCGTGGTTGGATGGTAACATATATAGCTTTTATAAAAAGTATTCAACATTATATTTGCATTGATCAAAACTGTCTTTTCTAGAACGGTGATGCTCCGGGAATGATAATTGCAGGCTGTGCAGTAGCTGATATCCTTAAAAATAACGTTAGCAATGATCAATTATATTCAGAATACAGTACAGGTCTTACACGATTAGTACAACCAGCAGATACTTTAGCTCAAAAGGGTTCACAGTTCCTTTGGATGATGCAGGATCCTGTAATTAAAGAAAGACTGCCTGTCCAATTAGCTACTATTGATAATTGGCAAATTAATATTTGCAATAAGGCTGCTGTGAAGGTAAACTCAAATTTATTTAACAAGAAAAATTATTTGGGCTTATCTACTGATGTATATGGGACATTATAATAGAAATACTTATACAAAATTAGCCGCACATTGAAGAGGTGAAAGTACTGCTCGAAAAACGTGAATTTTTTAGTTTTTCGTTTATAATCCGATGATTAAGAAAGATAGCGAAAAACGGTAAATTGTAAAAATATTTAATTTCGCACGATATATTATTAAATCGAAATAGGCCGATAAAATATGATTTTACATCTTTGCCATATCATTGATATCTATTTAAAATATAAAGGGTGTCCCAATTTAATTAACATAAACGCATGTCTCTGAAATAATGGCAAAATGGTGCTAATATTCGATCGTTCATCAATCAAGCCATTTTAGAGGATTTTAACATGCTAATTTCTTTTTCAATGATAATCAGTTTTATTTTTTTAGTCAAGATGTTAGTGGCATCAAGACGAGTTCAGACATGTGTATTCAAGTTTGTTTATCGTATGTCGCTCTATATTTTTAGGCAAAATAAGTAATAATCGATCTGCACATTTTCAATGCAGAATTCGACTATGTATAAAGATTGGAGGCGATGTATTTGAACAGTCGTTGAATTCTTGAAATGGATATGTATCGCAGAGGATTAGCAGAATGTTTCTGTTATTAAGATTTAATGTGAAAATTCTTTTTTGATAATTTTCTGAGACACATTCAGTTTACAAGAATTCAACAACTGTCCACAATATTGTCTCCTCCATTGATGCATAATTGAATCCGGCGTTGAAAATATGCAGATCCATTAATACTTGTTTTAACTAAAAATAAAGAGTGGTATACGATAAACGAACTTGAATATAAATGTTTAATCTCGTCTTGATGCCACCAACATCTTAATTAAACAAACAAAATTGTTTATAATTTAAAAAAGAATTAGCAAGTTAAAATTCTCTAAAATGGCTGGATCGATGAATGAACGAATATCAGTACCATTTTGTCCTCTCGAAAATGAAAAACTTTCGTATGAAAGAAATGTATCCAACTCTATTTATTTCAGAGATATCTGTGTATATTAATTAAATCGTAATTTGACAAATTGCGTCACCCATTTGAAACTAAAGTTTTTATACATACAGGGCGAGGCGTTTATAGTGACTCAGGCAATTTTCTCCTAAACGAAGCGAGATACAAAAAAATATTCGATACATTAGTTTCATGGTTTCGAGGGGGACACAAGATGGCGTCTTTCAATTTTTTCCTAAATCAAAGCATCAAGGTCATTTGAGGGTCAACTTTGGTTTTTCAAATGGGATGGTGTATTTTTTGTTATGGAAATCAAAAGAGCATTCAATTCCAGGTCTCAAAGTACTGGTATGCTATGGTCTCAAAACTAAAGGATCATGGGATATTAATTGAAATAGGAAAAAAAATCGGTTTACTTTTTAATGACGCATACGTTGCGGGGGGTTCTTTCGATGAAATTTAACAAGTTAAAGTTAAATTTAACCAAGTTAACCGCCACAATATGCATTACTGGGCTACGGAAAATCCGAGGTGGTTGCGGCAAGTGGAACATCAACGGCCGTGGACTCTAAATGTTTGGTGTGGTGTTTACCAAAACCGCATAGTTGGACCGTACTTCCTTGAAGATACACTCACCAGACAGAAGTACAAGGACTTTTTGGATCGAGTGCTTCCAACATTGCTCGAAGACATACCACTTCTGGAACGATGCAATATGTGGTATCAACATGATGGATGTCCAGCTCACTTTTAGCTTCAAGCTCGTGAAATATTGGATCGAGATTATGTCGATCGCTGGATAGGACGTCGAGGACCTGTTCATTGGCCTGCCCGTTCTCCGGACCTGACGTCTCCAGATTTTTTTGTGGGGATACATAAAAGAAAAAGTTTACAAGAAAGTACCGACGACATGCGACAACATGCGCCAGCGCATTATTGATGTCTCTGCCAATATCGAGGATGACACTCTATTGGCAGTGCAACGTTCTTACATTCGACGTTATCAAAAATGCATCGAAGTAAATGGCCAACATTTCGAACATTTGTTGTGAAATTTCATCGAAAGAACCCCCCGCAACGTATGCGCCATTAAAAAGTAAACCGATTTTTTTTTCTATTTCAATTAATATCCCATGATCCTTTAGTTTTGACACCATAGCATACCAGTACTTTGAGACCTGGAATTGAATGCTCTTTTGATTTCCATAACAAAAAATACACCATCCCATTTGAAAAACCAAAGTTGACCCTCAAATGACCTTGATACTTTGATTTAGGAAAAAATTGAAAGACGTCATCTTGTGTCCCCCTCGAAGCCATGAAACTAATGTATCGAACATTTTTTTGTATCTCGCTTCGTTCGGGAGAAAATTGCCTGGGTCACTATAAACGCCTCACCCTGTATATGTAACATAAATTTCCAATACATTTCATATATTGTAATGTGACAAAACGACCAACCTCTCAGTACTCCTGTACTGTGAGCGCACTCGTTACAAATAGACAACAAGGACACGCGGCTAGTGTCAACACTAGCCGATAGACGTGTCATATTGCTAAATAATCCCTCACAGTTGAGAAGATAATGTTTAATACCAGTAACATATTGGGTCTATAACTTAATTCGTGCGGTTTTTTCTTCAAAAATTGAACGTTTATTTCAGAAAAACATGTACAATAGTATTATTCAAAGTATTGCCCATCTGAAGCTATGACTTTTTCCCATCTTTCTGGCAATTTGTGGATTCCATCCTAAAAGAACTGCGCCGGCTTGGCGGCCAAGAATGAATCAAGCCAATTTTTGATACCCTGTTCTGATGTGAACCGTATTCCAGTGAGGGCGTTCTGCATCGATCGGAATAAATGGTAGTCGGACGGGGCAAGGTCTGGGCTATAAGGCGGGTGAGCCAAAACTTCCCAGCCGCTGTTTTCCAAATAGTTTTTGACCGGTGTTGCAACATGAGGCCGAGCGTTGTCATGATGGAAAATTATGGACTCATGTCTGGTGGAATATTCCGGGCATTTTTCGGCTATGGCTCTCTTCAAACGGATTAATTTTGTTCGGTACCGTTCTCCATTGATGGTTTTAGCAGCGGTTTTAGCAGCTCATAATACAGCACACCCTTCTGATCCCACCAAGTACAGAGCATTACCTTCGCGCCATTCAACGTCTCTCGGACATGCAAAATCGCCTTTCAACGTCTCTCGGCTTCAGTTCATGTGGCACCCAATTTCCTTGCTTTTGAATGTATCCGGCTGCTTTTAAACGTTTTGAAATGGCTGCTTGAGTGACTCCCAAAGATTCTGCTAACTCTTCTTGTGTTTGGCAACAATCTTCATCGATTAATGCTTCCAGTTCTTCATCTTCAAACTTTTTTGGCTGCCCAGGACGTTCTTCGTCTTCCAAGCAGAAATCACCACTTTTAAATCGTGCAAACCACTTTTGCCACGTTCGCTCAGCTAGAGCATGTTTACCATAAATTTCCACCAAAATACCATGACTTTCGGCAGCAGTTTTCTTCATATTAAAGTAATGAAGAAGAACTCCCCGCAAAAACACTTTTTCAGGCACAAAGTTCGACATATTTGAGTGAAAAAAAATTATTGTTGTTTACGCTTCAAATGAATGACATATACTGAAAAAGACGCACAATGACAGTAGCTTTCCAACGCATGTTCATAATATTGGAAAGATGTAATAATAATCAAGTTACGTCATCTCTTAGCAAACCGGACGAATTAAGTTATAGACCCAATATCTGCAACTCATCATTTTTGTTTTTCGTGAGTTATATGAATTTGTTCTTCAAAATACAAATATAAATCATTTGAGATAGGACGGACCAGTTAGTTTATTGAATTAAATGTAGGGAATGTATCTGTGACCGAATTGCATAAGGAACCTTTCGATGACCAAACTCAAGTCTACTATTTATAATTGTGAAACTTTTACTTAAAATTCGTGATTAATGACCTCAAAAGCTCCTAGATACCATATTCAATAAAAATTTAATGATCCTTCATGTCTCTGTGATACCAATGAGTTTAACACAGTTTAATGGTTTACTTCTCCAATTTTCGAGGATAAAGTTTAACTCCTTAAACGTACTTACTTGCAGTTAATTTTTTGCACATATTCACATTATGATCTCCTCTCTACTATATTAAGAGATCATCCATTGTTTCGGGATACAGTGTGGTAACCTTCTAGTCTACACTATAATATATTAAATACATTCCTGTGATTCGCAGATCTTGTCACATAGTGAAGCGCACTTGTGGGAGAGTTGCAGACTCGTAGGTACTGGTGTCTTGGAGCAAAGTCCTGATGGATATTTAGCCAGTCCTTTATCATTGCGACATAAAATTCAAATATTGCTCAACACCCACTGCAATGATCACATGAATTTCGATGATGGTAGTTGTTGCAGTTACCCTGAAGCTGCTACTACTTTACAACTAGTCACATTATCAATTCTTGCTTTGTGGTAATTAGTTAATTATAATAATATTACTATTAAAACATTCTTTTAGACATATACCATATATTTGTTCTTTGTAGTATAATCATTGGGGCCAGCACATGGATGTATAGAAAGATATGCCAGTATCGTACAGGAGTTACTTATACTCTTGTAGCAACACAAGAAATACAAAGAACTGAAGAAGCTAATAGTGCTGAGAGTGTAAAACCTGAACCAGCTCAGCCACATGATTTATATACTCTAATCACTTCATTGGCACTTCTCTCAATTATCCTTTTATACTTTTATCTCTGTGACAGGTATAATATTCATTTCACGTATATAAATGCAGTCGTAATTACTAATGACTTTACTATAGTTCTCTATTTTAGTTGTTCTGCTGTGTTTTTATTTGTGATCAGTATGATATCCAAATTATAAACCCAGGGTTTGTATTCCAGAACTAATTTCTTCATGAAAGAAAATAAATACTATAGTGAATTTAGTTTTTGGTTACCACTGGGATATATATTGGCCCTTGGATTATTTTTCACTGAGGATCGTGAAAGAGGGCCTAGAGCTTTAAACAGAGAACAAACAGATGAGTGGCGAGGACTTATGCAAGCTGTTGTACTTATATATCATGTAACTGGTGCCCGCAATGTATTACCAATTTACATGCACTTAAGATTAATTAATTCTGCCTACTTATTTCTTTCTGGTTATGGACACTTTTGCTATTTTTGGCAAAGGGGTGACGTGTCTCTTGTCAGATTTGCCAGAGTAAGTGATATTGAAATGCTTGCAATGGAATCCTATAATAATTTCTATAACTTGAATACTCATGTTAAATTTATTCTATATTTCAGGTACTGTTTAGACTTAATCTACTTACAGTGTCATTGTGCCTCTGTATGAATAGACCATATCAATTTTATCATTTTGTACCATTAGCGTCCTTCTGGTTTTTGGTTGTCTACGTTCTTGCATGGTTACCACCTAGAGTGTACTCAGGAAGTCTTGCTGAGTATGGTCCAAGAGCTTTGCTGTATTTAGCCCTAAAGCTCTTAGGACTTGTGTCTGTCATAACAATATTATATATGTCCGAGGTACCAAATTTTATTTCTAATAAATTCTACTACAAGGAAATAAAATTTTAATGTTTTTTGTAATCGCATAGGTATTTTTCGAGAAAGTTTTTGTCACTCGACCTTGGAAAGCACTGTTCGTTACGACTGACGATGACATACGTGAATGGTGGTCTCGCTGGAGAGTAGACAGATATAGCGTAGCCTGGGGCATAGCATTTGGAGCAGGTTTACTCGCATTGCAAAGAATAGACCATATTCCAGGGACAGCTTTAGCCCCAGTCCTGGCATTACTGTCTTTAGCAGCGTATACTACCTTTACTATACTTTGCCACTCAGTCTCTGAGTGTGAAGAAGTTCATTCCTACATAGCATTTATACCAGTAATTATATTCTTACAAAATTATGATCCCTTAAAAATTACTTTTATGGTTATACTCATCGTCCTGTATATTCTGATTATAGATAATTGGTTATATTGTACTTCGAAATGCCTCATTGCCACTTCGAGGTAAACATTCTGTACTCCTAGCTGGTCTGGGTAGAATTAGTCTGGAAGCTTTGGTGGGTCAGGGCCACGTCTGGCTGGCTGCTGATTCTCATGGGGTTCTTGTACTTTTACCAAGATTCCCAGTACTCAACCTATTGGTTACATCTTTTATCTTCATATGTGCTAGTCATGAGGTAATCATCTTAAATATGACTATTCTGTTTTTATAATTTATATGTAATGTTGTATTAATATGATATCTAGGTACATAGACTGACACACGTGTTGGCTCCATATGCTGTGCCAAAAGATTGGAGACTGGTAGCTCGTAATTTACTATTATTTATTGCTGTTCTTGTTCCCATTGGTATTCATGATGGTATGTTCTAAGTTCTAAGGAAACTAAATACTGAAACCATATTAAAAGTTTAATTCATTAAACCGAGATAAGTTTTTGATGTTTCTCGTCATTTCTGTCAATATTTTTTTCTGTTGTAACGTGACATTACACTCTTGATGAGGAAGCGGGTTCAAAAGCAACACTAGAGAATTATTGCCTAAGTAATTATCAAGCCAGGGAGTAAATGCTATGTCGTAATTGCTGACGCCCGGGATTGATATTCCGTGGAGGGCCGGGGTGCAAAATTTGATCTGAACTCATAATTTTTCATTTTTTTTTGTCCCTGAAACGCTCTCTGGCATTCAAAATCCGAATTAAAAATTATAACGAGTAATGTCGGGTGAGCTCCTTACATTGTATAGCAATAATGTGATATATTGGTCAAATTAATTAAAAAAATTAGTCAATTTGATAAAAGACATTATATCAACTTATTGTTTACGTAAAATAATAAAAAGTGCAAAATATTTCAAATGGAAAATATTATTTCAATGGAACTTCTTCTATTGCTACAACTTTACTTTCACTGCTTATCGTTGCTTGTATAGATACTTCATTTTAATTAGTATACTAACAGTACATTCAATATCCAGAATTTATCATTGTTTTTATAAATATATATATTTTCTTTATTTACATTGTACATTATTTATTAAATCATGCAATTGTCTTTTTCCTGCCTGCAGGAAACACTGTAAATTATGCTACAAATTCATAGGATGACAGAAAAATGAAAACAAATTAAAAATATAGAAAATCATGAACTCTTTTCGTTTCAATATGTTACCATAGTGAATGTCATAATGTACAGATTAGAATTCTTATCTGTTACCTACATATTGCTTCAACTAATTAGTGGAGCGTTTATAAATAATATATTTATAAATTATGTTCAGGATGCCTGAATGTAATTTATAGGATATTTCATAAAAAGAGTATAACCGTCAAGTTTAATTGCTCAGTATCCGTTTGTACTATTCGAATATTTTATTAAATATTTAATAAGAAACTATCATATTTGATCACTATCTTTCTTGGAGTTAGATTTATCATGTTTAACTTGACTAGTATAAACATCATAGCCAAGGGATATCGTATTGTCGTAAAGCACTCTGAATCGTGTTGGGAGAAAGTAAAAATTAATAATTTGGGCTGGTGGCCATACAATATACTCAGCTATATATAATCTATGAGCTTTGTTCTTAATCTCTTGTTTAAGTTCTTCCCAATTATTCATTTCTAATATGCCAAGTGTTAAGAAAAACATCCCTATACACAGTGGTGAACACACTAATTGATCAATAACAACTTTTTTAAGTACAATTCCAATAGTTCTTCCTTGTATCCTAGCATCTAAATAGCAATACCAATGGTGACACACGATCCCTACAGACATACCAGACACAGCCATGTTCCTTGTTCTTGTTGGACTCCATCTATCCCATTGTCCCTATAACCAACACAACATTTGTTATTGTTTCATGTGGTACATCATTAAATCATTAATTATGTTTAAGGTATTACAATCTTTAGCGCAGTACCTTTAATATTTCATAATGTTGTTCCAATATATCACCAGTTGCAGATAAGGATATTGATATGCCAACGTTTGTGTAAAAAAGATTTTTTGCAGAGAAGAGTTGCTCCCTTATTTGTTTAGCTCTGCTAATCCAAAGACCCATGCCCCTGACCACACTCATTTCCTAAAATGCAGGATGGTTTTAAATCTCTCAGTTTAGGTTAGACATTAGTAGAGTTAACAGAAATAAAATTTTATTCCAAAAAATCTTCATAAGTATTAATACTTCCTTTAAACAGTATTCTTACAAGGTTCTTTAAGTAAAATATGTTTTAATGATGTTTTTTGAAGAACGTCAAGCACACCAAATATGAATTAGTTAAAACATTTTACCCTCTTTCAGGTTAAGTATTATGTCATAGGTTATACCACGGTCTTGGTTATACTAATATCAATTAGCGTTAGCAAAATGTGAGAGAGAAGTATGTTTTAGCGATTATATTTTTACAAGAATCTTAACATTGTTATCACTAGAAGAGTATGTCACGCTATGAATATAAAATCGATCTCCTTCTATAAAAGACTAGTATAAATACCAGAATGTGAGGTCTTCATAACGGGCAGACAAGACATGTGAAAGAAAGACGGATTGATCAGTGTTATGCATTATGATTAAATTATTTTTAATACTATAATAAATATTTAACTGATGCTTAACATATATCTATAAGAGTCACAAAAATTGTATTAATTACAAATGCCTCAAATTCAATATTCTTTTTTTTCCTTTTTTGCTTCCTCCTCATCACGGCTTCTCATAGAACTCAAGCTCAATATAATAGAATATAATAACGTGAGAACGTACATGAGTAAAATTATAAGTATATATATATAGGAAGTATAAATCAAATATCAGTAAACAAAAAATATTGTACGAAAAAGAGTTTTCTAATATTGCATAAGTCGTATCACAAATATTGAATTACGCGCGGATTTTAATTGTAGTGATGTGTTCTTAAATAATTAGAAGGCAGTTGGCAGTTGGTAACAATCAGTAACTACCATAGGTAACCGACAATGATCCTCCTGTAAAATTAGCCGGACAACTTTAACTTTTAACTTTTGGTTATACCGAATCGATTAGTGGTCGTTTGATGGACATTGGTGGCCTAATTAAAATATTTAGTGATCTATCGTTCTTTTTTAATTAAATAATGAATATTTGACGGTGAAGTAAGCCGACATTTTTTGGTTTAAATTAATTCAATTAGGGCTTAGTCGATATGCAATCGTTTGTTGATTAAGAATATCGCAGTAAAACATTTGGTGGTCCCTCGATTGTCTAAAAAAGTAGGAAAAACCATTCATGGACAATGAGGACGACCATGCCGCATGGCTGTGAACTATTTTTCGTATCTTGTCCGCTAATTAATCATCATCAAAGGTTTTAATTGTGATATTTGTAACCGCCAAACGATTAGGATTCGATCAAGTCCATCCCGACTCTTGATGATGATTTTAATTGAGAAATACATATGCATTGGATGAATGCAGCCTAGTTCACAGCCACACGGCATGACTGCCCTCGTTGTCCATGAATGGTTTTCTTCTACTTTTTAGAAAAACGAAAGACCACCAAACATTTTCATTACCAAACATTAAATGAATTGATTTAAGCAACAAAAATTTCGGCTACCTTCATGGTCAAATTTTTAATAATTAAAAAAGAACAAAGGACCACAAAATATTTTAAAATTATGCCACCAATGACCACCAATTAGCTATAATCTAAAGTTAAAAAGGTAAAGTTGTTCGGCTAACTTCACAGAGGTGCATAATTATACCAGTTTTTCTTCGTTTGCATCGTTGCAATACGAGACAAGTGTATTGTGATATTGCCTTTATGATTCCTTGGCGCTAGTTATGTTCAGCTGACACAATCTTTTCGCGCGTAATCAGTAAAATAGGCGCGATTTTACCTCCATACGTGGAGTAGTAGTGCAGCAGCTAGGAAGACTCACAACTGGATAAGGAGCGTCTTGAGTTTTCAAAAGGTTTAACGGACTTTTGGCGACACCCTTGATCATCAAGCGCAACCGGATACGTATATATTCGTATATAAAAAATGTCTCAGCCGTCAGTAGCGGCGTTCTTTAATACGCGAAAACGGCAAGCTCCTGATGATTTACGAAGTAAGTCCAAGGTCCTAATTTTAGAGCAGGAACAAACGAACCTGGTGAGCGATGCTGAAGAAAGTAGTGAGATTAAGCGATCGGAGTCTTCGGGTTCACCATTAACTATTACTGAAGAAAATACTGGTCGAGCGACTCCCAAACTCGTGTGTTCTTCTACTAACGATATTGAGAGCAATTCCTTGTGTTCTGAAAGGGTACCTAGGATTGTGATCAAGCAAAACCCTGCTGTAAGAAACATCCAGTTTGATTCTGTGAAAAGTAATACTCAGAAGACTTCTACAATGAACACTAGAAACAGATCAATAAGGTCTCGCAAGCATTCTTCTCAAGATGGTCAGATTGATATTCGTGAAACTTTTTTGAAGATTAGTAGCAAGACTGATGAAGCCAAGAATGTTGTTTTTGAAAAGAAAGGTGCCTTGAGTCCCACTAAGAAACGTTCAGCTACTCCTAAGAAGAATCAGCCTGTTGTAACAAAGATTGTTAACGGTACAAATGAGCCACCTGCAGCTGGTTCTATTACTCCAAAGAAAGGTTCACTTATGGATAGGTTGAGTAAGCAAGATATGAGTCTATCTGAGATCAAGAATAGGATCAATAAGTCTGGAAGACTAGCAGAGCTCAAGGCTTCCATTACCAGAATCAAAAACTGCGAAGCTAGGCTTGATAATCTCAATAATAAGGATGACATTCGAAAACCACAAATAAAAAAGTTTGAGAGAATTCAACTAGAAGTTCCTGTTAGGTAAGTTTACTATAAATATTATGATTTAATGAAGCAACTATTTTTATATGTCTCTGATTTCTTTCAACAAGACATTTAATATTTCAAACACAGCGATTTTAAAAATAAAAGCATTGAAACCTGTTAGAGGTTTGTTAACTATTTCAATACCTTGGTACAGTCAATATTGATAGTTCCTCATGATAATTAGCACTGGTAGTTTTCCATTGCCCATATTCTTCAATGAGGAGTGGAACTTTGCAAAACTTTATGCCCTTCAGAAAAGGGCAGCAATTAGCATTATATATACCTTTATCTGATCAGATGTGATAGGTTGATCAGATTCTTAGTAGATAAATGGTGAATAACTGTGCTAAGTTCTACTGAATAAACAAACCTAACAGGACTTAACTATGTTTAAATAAGATATATTTTTCTTCTGTTACATTCATTAAATTTAAATCATTTAAATATGGATTAAAAAGATTACTGTTTAAGCTACCTAATAATTTGTAAGGTATATCTGTACATTTATTTATTCATTCTCTTTATTTTTATTTAACAGTCCACAGAAAAGCAATCAGTCGCCGAGTAAGTCGTTCTTAAGTCCAACAAAAAATATAGATCTTCCCAAGAATGCCAGTTCTCAACGTAGACTACTGTTTGCTCCAAAGGAGTCAACACCAAGTCCAGTAAAGAGCAGCCCAACTAAAGCTCCAGCTTATCAAAGATTCCAATCCTTGTCTGACAGTGGTCCTCTTGCTTTACCACTACCTTACAGTTATCGATTTCTGGCAGAGGTTTTCCGATGCGTCGATACGGTACAAATATTCTCATTAATAAGTAATAAATAGATAAATTTTATTAAGTGAACAATTTCTTAATAGAAATGTTTCTTCATACAACTTAACAGGTTGCAGCAATGTTATTCAACCGCAAGGAACTTATAACATTCAAGAAACTAAGACCAGGGGTTCAAGAACAACTACGCCGTAACTTTACTCTTGACCATCTAGCTCAGATAAAGACAATCTATCCTGATGCTTTTACCTTTCATCAGGAGAAGCACAGAAGCTTTGGGTCTGTTTCCCAGCAAGAGAAATACGAGCTGGTAATCACACCTGTGGTAGAGGTAAAGAGTGGCCGTAATACACCAGATGCTGATGATGTACTAAAATCAGCTTCTGAGAGCAGCATGAGCCCTGCAGTATTATTAAAAAGGAGAAGAAAATTCTTCAATACCCTTTTAGGTAGCTAATGAAGAATATGCAATAGTGCGATTTGGAAATGTCGGTGAAATTATTAAAAATGATTGATTTTTTATTATTATAGAAAAAGTTAAGGACGAGCACGAAAAGTTCCTATTAGGTTTGGAAATGCCTATGGTCATTAAAAAGGAAAAGATCACCAGGTGGCATCCTGAGTTTGACGTGGAGAGTTGCAAAGAAATCGAACGTGCTGAATTGCCTGAACCACCCAATGTTGATAAAGCTTCTTCAGCTAAGGATGTTCTAGGTAATTTAAAAAGTGATATACATATAAGTAAAATCATCGTTATAATTATCACGGTGACCCATATCTAACGAAAAGTCTTACGTCGCATTCGGAGGAGTTTGATGTCTGTCACAATCAGAATGACTTAGTGTTTTATTTAGTAAACGTTTACTACGTTGCAAAGTTGCATTATACGTTTGACCTGATTACGCCGAGTTCCCAAACTAGTAGACCACCTATCAGCAAATAATTTCGCATCTTGCAATTCTGCTGATAATCGATATAAAGGTACTCGATTTACTCGGGACTCTATACATTATCGTTAGTATTACTTTCTAAAAGACGGCCTCAACAGTTTTACAGTATAATGTTAGTACTGGTTAACGGTTTTAACGTAACACTGAGTAATCATCAGATGATTCGTAGGCTAAGTAAGTTAGAATGTTTCAGTCTATTTATTCACGTTGCGTACACTCACTGCACGAATGTGAAAAATTTTAATTTTCATTGATCAGCAACAACCACAAAGTAATAAGAATTTATATAAAATCCTATTAGCTAATATATTATTGTTACAGAAAAAGCAAAAACTCTGTTTAACTGCAACACACGCATGGAAAAAGCTTTGCAGCGGTTAGTTGAGGCTCGAATGACTTCAAAATCAACTTCCTCACCGCTAACTTTGGATTCAATCACTAATGATGTTACTACCCAAGTGACTGAAGAGGGTGTTCGAAACGTTGAGATATCAGTGGTAGATACTCCTCCTGCAACACCAACGACTCAGAGTAGCTTCCTGAGTACTGCTTTCAAAGGAATCCCCAAAGCACTTCTCGAGAAGGTAAACAAAAATAAATACCAGTCAAATAACTCGCTTTTCAGTTTAGAAACTCTCCAAATGGTTTCTTCTAATACTTAACATTTTTTAAACTGTTTCAGGTTCGTGCCAAGCAAGCCGCTAAAGCTTTAGAAGCTATGACGAGAACTCCTAAGGCAGAAAAAGAAGCAACAATTTATTCAAGACTCCCAGAACTCGCTAAAATTTTGCGCAATATATTTGTGGCCGAGAAAAAGGGCGTCCTCACTGTGGAATTGGTCATTCAGAAGCTTGATAACTCTTATCGCACAAAGTTAACGCCCAACGAACTTGAGGAACATATACGTTTATTATGCAAGCTTCTGCCTACTTGGGCAAGTTTACACGTTGTCAGAAAAATTGATTATCTCAAGCTAGCAAAGGACGTCGATATCGCTAAGGTAGTTAAAAGATTGGAAATACTGGCCAATGACAAGGTAAAGGTATAACAGTAATTTCCACAGTAAAACTTAAAGGAATAAAGAAATATTTATGATTTTTATCTTCACGTGCACCGAATACACTAATTCATTATACTTTGATCACATTGAAAACAACAGATCTTAAGATTAATTATTTACGCTGACTGTATATACGTGGAAGAGTTAGTGGCTGATTCAACATTTTTTTGTTTTTGTTGTAATGCAGTTTTGAATTCTTCTTTGACAGTCTTATGCAAGATATATCAGCAAATGAATTTTTTATGCATTCACTTTCTTGAATAATGAAATTATAATTTCGCATGCCTAAGTTAAATACGACTCTTCTACGTTAAGTGTCAAAGGGAATAAAACGCACGCCAAAAAATAAATTAATACAATTAAAATGCTACTAGCAGACAAAGAACTTGTTGTGACGCTGCATTACACTCCGCACAGTTGATTAACAAAAATCGATTAAAAAAAACGTGAGACTGTTTTGTTGGGTATTATGCACAGATAATACAGATCGCGTATAGGGATACTTAATATACATATATTACATTATTTTCATTGCACATTGCATACTTTAAGTGAAACTTTGTATACATAATATTAATATACACTTTTGATAAAAATGATTATAAATCAACGAAATTGTACAATCTAAGGAGTAATACGACATAACTCCAGTAGGCGATACAATTTTCAAATAAATTATTTAGGATATCTACATAAGTATGATTTTCAATCTTGGGAATTTGTGTATGCTATTTTTTCACGCAATAAAAGTTTACAAACATCACGTATATTTGTTTAAATAGACCAAAGGATTCCAAAGTTTACAAGATACCTTGTATAAATAGATGAATGTAGTTCATAGAACGTATACGCCCATAACTCCTTTATAACTGAAAATCTATGTTAATACTTCTTGAAATTTTTATAAAAAAAAAAGTTCTATTTCGGAACACAATAGGTATAATGGCGCTTTCAATTAGCAGATTTCTATTACATCACGTGTAAGCTGTGACACGTCGGATTTGATGACTGTAGGAAAATTTACGTCAATAAAGCTGGTACCGCCACAAAGAAAAATGGAAATTAAACCCATAGCCAAATTAGAAGATAATTAAGTACCTTAATCCAAATTTTAAAACCTAGTCGAAATCTATGATAGTGATAGCTTTACAAAATTTTGTATCACTTTTGTAATGATATATTAAATATTGAAGAGGAAATCTAATTCCATAATTTTCACATGTGTCATCTTCACATCGTCGGAAAAGTCTTTCTCAAAATACTGTTCGCCACCGATGTTCATGAGTGTAAATTCTGCATTACCGTTCGAGATTCCTCTTAAATGTAAGGATAACTCACAATGAGCCGATATCGATAGTCAGTAATATCACAAAGAACGGTAGCGTCAACGATGATACCATCCAAAGATATTCATTAAGAATTCAAGAAATATTAACGGGTTTCGAGGGCGATGACATGCATCCCATTCTATTTTTGTCAGATCCATGGGAATTCCGTGAGTTCCATAAGACGCTCGCCAGTAAGTACCACAACTATCTATACATACGTTCTAAATCCTACAGCGACTTGACATATAATTTACAACAAACAATATTACTGCATTAATCAATGGGTTACAGGGTATAATTAATATTAATACACTTTCCACAAAATTTAATTGTATATAATTATGCTCTAATCTATATATATATTGTAACTATTTTTAATTCTTTATTAAATTTTATTTAGAATGACTACTTTACACTACGATACTGCAAGGAAGCTCCTTACTACAGTCATTCCACGAGTAAAAGATCCTGTTTAGGGGACTCATGTACCTTAAAAGTTATAGAAAGTTGGCCCTTCCAAAGGCTATTTTACTCGAGAACGGACTACTACAATTATTACTCAACGCATCACTACTCCAATGGTCTACTGTGCTCTTGTCAAGCGTTTTTATATCGCCATGACTTCCCCATATGGTAAGAGTGGAGCATATGGTCGACATTGCGCAATGCTGACTGCTTACAAGAACAGAATACCAGTGAAAAACCTAATACGAAATCAGTGCCGTATATTCATAATGCGTGGCAACGTAATTCCGCGTAAACTTCCTCTCACTGAAAGATCCCATTCAATAGGATAAATGTGGGAAGATTCTTATGTCTGAATATAGTGTATAGATAGTATGTATTATATATATAACTTCATACATATATGCTGCACATTTAAAGCTCCTACGGTAGTTACGTACCGCGCTTGATTTCTGAGTTCAAGCACTATATTATATATTCCTACAGGAATCTCATAGAAATATTACAATTCCTCATGTGAGGATTAAGTGAATAGTTTCACATATACGAGAGCACAGACTCTGTTAGCAAAACTAACATAAGCATATATTATCTAATCATTAATGAAATTCATAATTTGTTAAATAATTTTTACTAGTGCAAAAATTCTTTTGAATCTCAGCAAAACCCTGTGGTTTCCCTTTCTTTATTTTCTGCCGTGAATATATTGTGAATCTTTCGCTGAAACTATGTCGATTTATGTTCATGAGGTCTCGCCTTAGTATTTTTTTTTTTATTCTTTCTCGAAGCTCTGGCTGGTGTGCTGAGCTTATTAATATAGAGGGTACATTGTTCCCTGGAGTCAAGAGTATTTCTGAGTTTATGTAACGCGGCCCAAGTAGTACGACACGAGACGCGCTAACGTGCAGCATTCCTCTGTGGATATACTGGATTTCCCATAAAGTTTAAAAGTTTTAAATAAATCATCAAATTTTAGCATACCAGTGTTACAATATTTTTAGAGAACTTTCGTGTGGATGACTGATTATTACTTTTTATACAAAAAAAAAACAGCAGATAGTTGTACACAAAAATATTTGTATCATGAGACAAATGCTTCAGGATGGATACTAAATTGAAAATATTAGCTGTGTAAGTATAAGTTTCTATGTTGATAAAGAATTTTCATATGTTATATAAAACGTTATACTTAATCGAAATGTTATCTATTATTTTATAGCACCCTGGTGAGCTTGACGGTAGCAGGCGAAAATTCCGAGTCTGAAATAATTGCAGAGGATGGTTATTATTTAGACTCTGTGGATGAGTATTTAGCAGCTTCCTCATCTGAGACCCTCGAGTGTCCTTCGACGAATGTAATTAGGACGCAATATAAATGTAGGAGTTCGAAGAACGAGTGGGTCGACTGTTCGAGAATGCATTGCTGTCCGGATTACACGCTTATTGCAGGTCATTGCATTCCAAAAGGTACTGATCCATGCACCTTGGATCTTTGTGAACAACGATGCAGCATTTTACTTCAGAGAGTTATATGCACGTGCTGGGATGGGTACAGGTATAATATCTGGAATGAGAATTTATATTATTCATTGGGTATATACAGAAAATTTTATAGCAACTATTCTTTAAAATATATTGAAGCGACTACTTACAAAGTATATTAATACCGGGATGCTCTTATATAGAGTAAGAATAGTACGTTGAGTTTAGAAATATGCTCAATGTCTAATTATCTCTTACACAGTATAACAATATCCACTTATGAAAACAGACAGAGACTTTACTCCAAAGAAATATTTTTCGAATAGATAAATATGCATAAGTATTTTTAGACAGCTGTACAGCAAATTTCATGAAATTCAGTATTTTGTCATATCAGTGTGCTAATTAAAAAAAATTATCTAACGTTCCTTTAGTTAATACTTTACTACTGAGCTAACACGTTTCTCGTACTTGTATAATATTTACACAGTCCATATAATTAGATAGACTTTATGTGGTTGAGATACGACTGACATAAGATGTGTTTGCTGTATACTTGTACCACGTTAGCTGGTTGAGGTATACGTATATAGTATGTAAGCAATATAAGGGTGGTTTTGCATAATTTTATTTTGTATAATTATTTTGTATAAGCAAAAATATATTATACAAAGCGCATAGATTGTGTCGCGTGCACATGTTTGTGTACTCTCAGGATGATTGTGACTAATGTATATTTATACCGAAAGTGACCAAAGATTAGACACGTGAGGTTTGTAGGAAAATGTTAACTGTTATAGTCAATTCGTGAGTAAAATGTGTTTTTTTCTTTGACAGATTGAAATAATTAATAAGTCGCACGTAACGTTTTCATAAAATCATTGAAATATATGCCATATCCTGCATGTGCATATTCGGTCAGATAAATTTTATGTAAAACTATGTGTGAGGCTTTCCGAGGATTTCAGTGCATTCGATTTGTCAAAAACACATATATTACTTGTGAACCGATATACGTTTCATTGATCGACTGTCAGGGTTTAGGTTGCTTACTTAGGTTGCAAGTTCATTGATTTACATTCTGCCACCTAGCGATAAACCTTTCGTTTAAACATTTACTATTATTGAAACATTATAGACTAGTGAGATTTTAAACTTCAGAGTCAGGATCTCATGACTTTATGCTAACAAGGTTTGTCTTGAAAAAAAAGGGGAAAAAAAGTAAAATTTCGTATAATAAACATTACACGTTTTTTTTTTTACGTTGTTATCAGGATTTTCGATTCTATTGCTGCGTAATGATAGTTACAGTATGTATACCAGGGCATTACGCTAGAGGTAAACGACTGACGTTTCTTTTTACTATACTTTTATAGAAATTCATCATACGTAAATCGAGATTTTTATCGCTGTTCAGTATTGAGATTTAAATACAAGTTGTTTCTGTACGTTTGGCGCTAAAGATTGAACATTGTAAAGGATTTATTACTACACTGATAATATTACATAAATTATGTACGTAGAGTATTTTTTTTTTTCATTTTTTCAATAGAATTCAGTACTAGTAGACCAATTTTTACAATATTTTGTATAATCACTTGTTCGTATACTTAATTAATTAATGATGATCAATTACTATGTCTAAATTTCAGGTACAGTCCGGATAGACAACGACAGGGATTAAAGCCAGTTTGCATTGATATAGATGAGTGTGCCGAAGGCACTGCGGATTGTGAACAAATATGTAATAATAATCCTGGTGGTTTTTCTTGTGATTGTCAAGAAGGATTTTATCTTCGAGCTGACAATAAAACTTGCGAGTCAGCCGTCCTTGGGAAGTCTGCCAACGAGGAAGCTGTTGCTGCTGCATCTAGATGCTATGCTAGCTGCGACACTGTACTCCGACTAAATGACAAAGTAAAAGAAATTGGATATCAGTGATTAATCTTATTCTTAAGTGAAATGGATTAAGAGATCAGGATACATTTTTTAGATTCGTAAACTCCAGGAGAAGATGTCCGCTATAGGAACTGCTATTAGATTGTCAAGTTATTCTTCAGGTCCACCAGGTCCCATGGGACCACCAGGACCACCGGGTCCTTCGGGACCACGAGGATTTCCAGGGGACGATGTCACAATGGCATCGGAGGGTTACTCTCGGAATGGAGATAAATCCTACTCCATTTTGAACACTTTTGTACCGGCTGAGAGTGGATATTGCAAATGTCAACGGGGATCAATAGTGAGTTCATTGGCCTGAAATTAATATAGGAGCAAAAGTAAGACCAGGAAGTAACAAAGGGTTATGAGAATGTCATTTTAAAAGCTGAATAAAGTTTTAACCGATATCTTCTTATTGTGCTAATGCAATTCCCAGGGCCCTACAGGTCCGCCTGGTGAAAATGGGCAAAAGGGCGAGGCTGGTGAGCGAGGACCTAGGGGTCAGAAAGGTGCTGCAGGAAGCTTCGATTTTTTGCTGCTACTCCTGGCAGACGTAAGACACGATATTGTCCTTTTGCAGGAAAAGGTTTTCCAAGGAGAAACGTGAGTACTTTGAGATTAGTTTATGAAATCCGTGCCCCTCTTATACCTTTCATTGTACCCATAGTATTATAATATTGGAGCAAGCTGGATGAGAATTAATTAATTATTTTTAGTCCACCGAAATTCGACTTCCAGACACTTTTAAAGAAGCACAGATTCGCTAAGGACAAAATTAAATATTCAAAAGTTCTGCGTCATCAGATCGAAGACTTCGATGCACCAAAAATTCTACAGTTTGCCGATGATACACTAGAAGATGAAACGATAGACTCTTCTGGCGAAGAAGTGGATCAATACGATGAATAAACTCGAGAATTATCAGGGATTTACTGATTCTGAAGGACATATACACCATAAAAGTATGGTATAATACGTAAACAACCCTAATAAGCTGCATCTTATACCAATAGAATCATTATTTACATCTAGATGACACATTCAACATAAGTACTAAATCTATAATATGTTATATGTATATTTATATATATCGTAAGGTTTGTATGTAATACTGGTTCAAAAGGCGCTTGCGTTGGTACAGTGTCTACCAGGGTGTTCCGTATTGGTCGAGAGCTCAGCCCAGGATACTAACACCAGTATCAAACACCTATAGAGAGTAACGAGCCAGGGTGCGCCCCACGTATACGGACTCAAAGGTCCAAAAGGAGGGGACGTTTCAGGGCGCTTGCGTTTGCAACAGTTTCTACTTGCAAAGGAACGTAGACCGAGTGCGCATTGGTCGGGATACCTTTCTAAGGGTGTAAAACTCCAGGTTTACTAACCACGCCCATATCCGTTTACCATCCTAGCTTACATAGTCACCAACCGAAATACGTTAATATCTGACACAGACAGTCCACCTATTTAGAAATCAACTTCCTAATCTGGAAAGACTAGTATATAAATCCATTGTGCTCTGAACAATAGAAAACTGGTACAATGTCTTGAAGTAGTATTTAAAAATTCTCTAAATAAATGACAAGTAGTTTAAGTGAGCCGATAACGTATTATACAATTATCCACTAGGCATATATATAAAAATTTTAATATACAATGTGTATGTATTTATACAGCTTACAACTAACGCTCTAAGGGATGCTGCTGAGTCAACATTTTTAGTATACATATATATAGAATCAAGTGGATATAACGAAAGTAACCCCGGTACCGGTGGACATGCGTGTAAGGGTTGGTCTGTGTTTGAAGGGTTGCAGATAATATATAGTCGTGCTCGGTAGAGCTTTTAGCTTTGACCGTTTCATCCGTGGCCGTGTGCTAGGCGACGCGCTCCCAATCTATAACCACACCACCCTCATCGGTATCCTCACCCCGGGTTGACCTCATCCTTCTGGTATATATCTATATCCGTCACTTTTTCACCTCGACTCCCTTGCCAGCTCTGTTAAAAAATGAGTTCGAACATTATTTTTGCGGCCCTTTCAGCAATTTGGCTGACCGCTCCACTCGGACGGTACGGACGGCTACGGGCAGCACTGCCGCAGCCAGTGGCTGCGTCCGCTATGCCGCTACGGTATGGCTTGCAATGTGCCGCATCAGCGAATGTGAAAATGAACAAAAAATATATATCTATATATTATATATTTCCCTCTGTCCGTCCGACGCTCGTTTTAGGATAGATATCCCTCTGGGACGTCCGTGCCAGGGAGCCATTTTCAATTCAATCTGTTAAAAGCACGTCAAAAAGTCATACGATATTTCACCGCGTCGCGACAAGCTTCCCGTTGTGGACGATATCAAATGCTACCTATCTGCCTACCTAGCTAACCTGACTTTACCTAGACGTCCTATTACACCAATGTCGTCTGAAATACTAAAGTACGGATGCGTTGCGTATATCGTTATTCACTTTACTATCCATCACCTATAATGCTGAAAGCTTCCGTCTTTACTTTTGTTTTTTTAATTACTTTTAACCATCGTCTCAGACGTTCTCTTCCAGTTCCTCATTCTTATTCGGAAGTTTTGTTCTTCGATTTTTTACTGATTCTTTACTTCCATGATCTCATCCATCATTCAAACGAGCAAGATCAGGATGATCTGAGATACTTAATCACGGATGATGAATTTTTGAAAAAAAAAAATTTATCTCTGAGTAAGAAAATAATCCGTGTACGATTCTCTAAAATTATTCTAGAGAATCTATTCGTGAGTGAAATTCATGGAGTCTATGGAAACCGTAAGGAAGTCTTCTGTCACCTATGTGCTCCTGAAGAAGAGATTGAAGGTACTCCAGTGAATATGCGGCTTTCCAAAAGTTTTTCTGATGACAATCTGCCATCTGAAGTACGACCCGGCATCCTTTCTGATTCAAACACTGGACAGGTTCAAGATTACCTGGATTTTGTTGCCACTTTGTCAAGGACTATTGGTTCTTTATCTTTTGTACCATTGTTGACGCTATCAAGGCTGATCTTTTATCTTATCAAAATCTACATCCCCCCAGTTCACTCTATTATAACAGATTCTTGTGCAATGTTTGGTAAATATGGTAATTCGAGATAGTAACATACAATTGAGAAAAGATATTCCCTAGGATTTCAATAATCCCCTAGGACGATGCTTTTTCGAGTCATTGGATTGAATTACTGTTCGCTACCTGACGCGGAGGTAAGAAAGAGAACGATTTACCTCAAGGCAATTTTGTGTTTCTTCTAGTCGACTAAGATTCGTGAGAGTTACTCGAGTTTCTTTCTCAAGAGAAAATATTTAATCTTCCTGGATCCACCTGGGGATATTGGTTCGACTATAACGAGACTACACGAAACTGCCCAAAGACAACTGGGATTTTCGTCTGAGTTAGCGGTTAATATTTCTTTCTTATTTCGTTTCTGTTCGTTTTATATTTTTTATACGTCTCCGTGGCTCTTTAACATGGTATCGCAAAAGCGCGCTCCAGAATCAAATTTAGCCAACAATTCGCTAATCAAAGTCCTCTAAAAACTCGACATTTAAAGCTAGTGCGTATACGACGGGTTTCACATTGATTTATTGATTTATAAACCGGACTCCCGTACGTGTCTCGTAATACTTCTATAATACGCATAAGTTTATAGTCCATTGACTTTAATGTGCAAACAGTATATCATAGGGAGATGGTATTATGTAATTTCTATGACGCATGATTAATTTATAGAACGGAATCAATTGATGACGAGTAAAGAATGTAATAATTATAGTAGAACAGTAATACAAAAACACGAGTAAACGTATATACATATAAATGGAAAAAGGATTCCATTGGGCAGTCACTCCAAATCAAAGGTAATTCCCCTATTGTGGGTTGAGTTTGCGTAGGTACGTGTTAGGTTAGGTTAAGTTAGGTGGGTAGATAAGTAGGTAGGTTGTTCGGCAAGTAGAGATACGGGGTAGAAACCCATAATACATACAATGCCTTTATTCCATTCTCATTGCGGGCAAATAACATCTGTACATTAGATCACTATAAAATCGGTGGCCATTGCAGGGATACAATGGGGCCCCATTCAAACCTCATTGTAGAGCACGTTTCAAAGAAGGTGGTAGGGACGATGATGATGATGATGATGATGGTTCGTGTACTAAGGTACCTAAAGTGTGTAAAAGATATATTAAAAAAAAAGAAAAACGGTTTCTGATATATAAAGAGAAAACAAGGACGTAGGAAATTGTACAGGTATATATGAGAGTACAGAGTGGGAGATTGAGGGTAGTAATGAAACAAGAAGAAAAGAGGAAAGAAAAGAATAAAAGAGACACACGCAAAGCACAGAGACAGAGGGAATAGGAGGGAAAGAGAGAGAGAGAGAGAGAGAGAGAGAGAGAGAGAGAGAGAGAGAGAGGGAGAGCAGTCTTTAAAACAGTTGGCCGAAAACAAAAGGCGGAGCTGCGGAGAAACGTCTGAGCATCGGGCGCATTGTGCGTCACGTTAAACGGGTTTTAAATAAAGGGTAATGTGTTGGTTCGTTGCTTCTCTATGTATATACTTATTGGCGACGTCGTGCTAGGTAGGTGGGTACGATGAAACGTGGGTAGGCAACCAGCAAGCTAGGTTATGTCCTTTCACTCGTCTCTCCCAGCAGATATAAACTCTTAACATCTCTGTGGGACGGCACCATGAGCCAATAGGGATGACTAGAAGGCGTGACTGGTACGAGGTAAGCTCTGTCATTGGTCGAAGCCTCGGGGTGGAACACTGTGGCATAGTGTTTTATTTCACACGCTTCTGGAGGGGATGTTAGTTTCTGCCCTGTTGGTAACCTGCCCCACCACTATCTACTGAGGCCCTGTGTTCACCTCTAACCCCATGCTAAAATCCAGTATCCCCACTTACCCTTGTGGCACTCTCTCACTTTCATCTCTCTCTTGAATTATCTTTCTCTCTCTCGCTCTCTTGGAAACGTCGTACTCCCACTCCCACTCCCACTCTCAGTTAACCAATGATACTCAACCTACTGTATAGCTTTCTCATTCTCTTCTACTCTCTCTCTCTCTCTCTCTCTCTCTCTCTCTCTCTCTCTCTTTCTCTCTCTCTCTCTTCTCACCCCTGCCACCTCTCGCAAACCGACAACCCCCCTAGCTAACGCTACCTGAATTGAGTCTCCCGGGATGCTGCAATTGTTGACACACCGGAAGATCTCGCTGAGCAATTCGGCATTTCGGTCTCGACGTCCGAACAAGTAGTAGTGAGTGGCTTTTTCTTCTTGGGCATTGGTCTTCTCTTCTGAGTGCTGCGACTTGTTATTAGAGTGCCGAATTTTTATGCGTATCCCGCGAACGTCATTTATGTGTTTCATTTATGTGTATATATTCAATGTCGTTACTGTCGTTGATACGTGCATCGATAGTAGCAGTTGTACTCGTGTCAGCTTCTCCTCTCACGGAGATACCGGAGTGATCGTTGAAGGAAGCTGAAAGAGTGTCAAGAGAGATTAATAAAAGCGAATCACATGATTGGTGTTAGATAAATTAGAGTTTTGAGTTTTTGGGAATGTCACTTTTTGAAAATTGTAACTTTTCACGACGTTATAGAGTCGTAGAGAAGTAACTAGCCTCTCTATATGACTATTTAATTATTGGAGCATCTGATTGTAAAGTTTGATAATAGATGTGGTGACCATGGACGATTAATATTATAAAATGATATATCACTCTGTACTAGAAGATTGGTGAATTGGACTTCAGTGCAATATAATAAAAAGGGTGTACCTTGAGGCTTTGAGGAGAATGTCGCTACCAAGGGGAGTGGGTCTTGGAGTTGATGTTGGACAACTTATGCAACATCAGCAACAGCAACAGCAACATCACGTGCTGCCTGCGGCTTTCTTTTTACGCGCGAGTGCGGAGCGCTATCAGAGGACACCGAAGTGCGCGAGGTGTCGGAATCATGGGGTGGTTTCTGCCCTCAAGGGACACAAACGTTATTGCCGATGGCGTGACTGTGTCTGTGCTAAATGCACCCTTATTGCTGAAAGACAACGAGTAATGGCTGCACAGGTTAGTTGACTAGAAGGAAGTATTAATTAATAAATCAATTGTCTCGATTAAGGGTAAATTCCCAAATTGTCAGTATTGTAAGGATAGCTGTGTTTTTCTCAAATGCATAGACAAAAATAAGAGCATGACGTTGTATGCAATACTGACAATGAATACCGGAACGTAGCAACCTAACTTGGTGCAATATTTATTTTTAAAATCTGCTCGTTCAACTACGACCACCCTTTAGTGAAAGGGATCTTAATGGAATTTAAAAATGACAAATCAATTGGCAGTAGATTTATCGAATAGAAAATAATTAGTAAAACGTTTGTCTTTATCAGCCAGTAAGCCGTGAGACCCTTTCTACATTGTATATTTGTATACGAGAATCCACCCTTTCTTCTAGAACCCTTATACGCGAAGAGTATCGTTAGCTTGAAAATTTGCCAGTGCTTGTTTGAGAATAGGGGTTGGTAAGTAGGCGAGGGTGTATAAGCGTTGCGCGGTTAGTTTAAATGCGCTTGGATGCCGCAAACCCTTATGGAATATGTAATAGTTGCAAATTTGCTCAAGAGGATTGATCATATCTACAAACATATTCAACCCTTATCGTAACAATATAAAATTTTTAAATACGCGCAGCAAATAGGTTAGGTTAGGTTTTTGAAAAAAAAAGATTGAATGACAAACGTAGTTGCTCGGAGTAGAAAAACTAGGGTTCACGAAGACACCTTAGTTTTGAAGGATTTGAAATTAGATTAGGTCCCTATCCATGCAAGGAAATGTGTAGTTTAAGGGTGCAAGAAGAGGGCCGACGCGTGGGTCTGTAATTCAACCTCTATACACAGGGTGTGCAAGAATTGCACTTTTGTAATACATACCAGCGTCAATGATACACATAGCACTGGGGATAACGTTTCAACGAATATTACACGCTGATCGTGTAACATTCCACAATTGTAATACTACACAGGGACCGCCTTATAATCTGGCCTATATAAAAGATATCCGTCAACCTATTTAGAAACGCCTATATATTTATACGTTAACCGCCTATACAGCCTACAGGTATAAATCCTGCTTATTTTGTGCATATAGAAAATCACAGTGTTAAATAACATTGTGAAGAATTGTAAGTAAATGTAAGATTATAGTACGTTTAAAGTGTTATTTAAATTTCAAATGTGCAAGATTTGTTTGTTACCTCTATCAACTTCGCATATGTTTATTTGGTTGGTTATAGGTCGCCTTGAGGAGGCAACAGGCTCAGGAAGAAAGTGAGGCACGAGAGTTGGGTTTGCAGTTGCAATACAACAATGGCAGCTGCCCCACAGCTTCTGTTTTGCCGACGTCTGCAACAGCTACGGCAACTCCAACCGGAAGTCCGCCACCACATACATCACATGGTGCCAGCCCCGTAGGCCTTACGATCCCAGCCGCGGCTGCAGCGGCAGCGGCAGCGGCAGCCGCAGCTGCAGCATCGGAAATTCAAACGCAACTACATCAGCAACCTGACTGCGGAGGCCTTCTTCAGCGGATGAGAGTACCCCAGGAACAAGAGTATCGGCCAATTAAATCCGAGAATAATGATACTTCCGTCCATGGGAATTCGCTATCCGGAATTACAGGTACGTACCAAAACCTCCAATAATCCTGTTAGAATCGATACCGAATCACATAAAATACCATCACTTATATCACTGGCACTCAATACTATATCAGATTATATTATATATCAAGCAAAGAGCTTGTGCCTCTAGTTTTCTCTTTAGGGTGTAGAATGGCTAGAGCACAAACTATGGACTGAAAGTACTGTGGGTAGGTTGTAAGTTTGCAAGGTACGAAAGTAGGGTTAGGAATTAAGCCGCCACTAACGAACGACTTACTTCGAGTGGTATAATAAGGGGCCCGCGTTAGCCATTATTCACTTAACTTCAGGACTCTGGCTACCCTAGTACCTATTTAGGTACACGTTCCTAATGGGCACTCATATGCGTGCCAATACGCGTATATCCTACATACTTTAACACGGTTTATACTAACCATACGTACTTAGGTACTCCTCGTGCGTATACATGTATTATGCGTCGTGCGGTACTTCAGCTTTTTCTTTACGGTCGCGTGCCTTATACATTGTCCTTTAATTTTCCCTCATTCGCGTTCCTGTCCTTCTTTATTCCATGGCAATACAAATATCATAGACCTCTTGTACACCTAGATGTGCCACTCTATTAACACCATGGTAACACAGCTACATAATTATTTTCTGTAATACCGACAGGAACGCTGCATTACCCCCAAATAACTAGAAATAAGTTTCATGTTTGTGGATACGTGCCGTAAATTAAATATAGAACCCTATTCATAAATATTTCTTTGGAATTATGTAAAATCCAATATTCTCGAAGTCACCTGTATATTCTGCTGGCGAAACTGCCAGTATCTCAGATATCATTGAGGGAACCAATAAAATGCGAGGATATTCTATCCTGGCCAACCGTCTTACCCCAGAACTCGCAGCCATACCCAACTCCAGAAGATCTTCGAAACACAGTACAGGCGGTACAGTATAGCGAGCTAGGGAGACTTCACTAGAGAAGTTTAGCAGTAATTGAATTTCTCGGGCCACTGCCTCTAAGCGTGGGGGATGCTTGGCTGAATAGGTCGGTTCGTTGGCTGCTTGCTTCTCTTTGCTTAGCTTGCTTCTGTATATAGATATGTACAAGATATAATATAGAGTGCTATACAACTAGCTAGTTTCTCATCTAGGTATAGTCTCTATGCTTGCCGAACGTATAAGTAGTTTCTGGATATACATACTAATTCAGATATCTCTTTTAACACAAGATATTGAAATGGATATTGTACTGTGCATCGGTACAGTAGACTGCGTGAATATAAGAAAGCAAAAGCGACATCAGACCTAACCTACTGCATCCTCCTCCTTATCTTCCTCGTACCTTCTTGACCTTTACCCTCTTCACCCTGAACGACTTAACCTCCAGGCTTTCCATTTTCAAACACGTTCCGTTCGAGTGGCCAAGAAACTTTGTCCCATCCGCCGTTAGCTTCCATTCTGTGCGAGACACCAGGAAATTATTTTACCGTGCTGATTCCTCTCGGATGACAGAATTATAGGGTAACGAATTCCAGGTATCGTCTGTCTTTTAACTTTTTCTCTTTATTCTCTTTTTTTCATTCAAAACTCCTTCAACTTTCCATCCAATGGATACTGAACTGGGACTTGCAAACAAAGTTGGAATGCAAATGTATGTATTATTTATCAAGCAATGGTACCTAGCGAACTGATGGCGACGTTCTAGTCGCAACCCTTTCTTAAGATCTTCGTGGCTGTCTTGGCAATACTATTTACATGGTGTTTTATAGTCAAGTTTGTTTACCCCAGTGTTGACTTAGGTGTGCCTCTACTACGTAAACCTCTATCACGTAGGCACGTCTCTATGACTGTTTGAGGATGATTTTTGCGCAAGATTTACGTGCAGTAATCGCATTCCTTACACTCCTCCACGTGTGTATTATAGCGAGCTTCCTCGAGGAGAATGACTTTTTGATAAACGTATATCTCTTCTAAATTCGCGTATACAATTTTAATATACAGATACCACTTATCTACATGAGTATTTCTTGCATGAATCTGTTAGATGTAGCATGAAAAGAAACCATAGGACAGAAGGTAGGGGATATAATATCGTGTTATGAAAATTAAAATAAAGACTTGTGCGTATACTCTGCACAGAAATAGGTACACGAGGAGATAAGAATCCCACCAAGCGTTTCAATGGAAAAAAAAGAAAAAAAAAAGAAAACGAGAACTCTACCGATCGGGTTTCTTTAAGTTACCAGCTAGCAAATGTTTTTAATTAATAATTCTTTTGATTAAGACAGAATTTTTAACTCCCATCTTTAATACCACGAGCTTGAGATCGAATATAATAATCTGCACTGGAGAGGAATTCAAGAATCTTGTCAACGATTTGATCTGACGTCATTAAATCAATTCGCAAAGAGTGAGCGTATTGTTTTGTCAGCTTGTCATAGATTGATATAACGAAGAAAAACAAAACAACGCGTCATAGGTACTAATAGCGCGCTTCTCGAGAAGTCAAGCAACAAGCAAGGAAGAGAGACTGGAAAATCTATGCCGCGGGAGTGAGCGAGCGAGGAGAGGAACTAGCGAGAGCAATAAAAAAACATGGAAAGAGAGAGACAGAGAGAGAGAGAGAGAGAAGAAAAACCAGAAGAGCTACGGTCGGCGCACCACCCGTTTACCAAGCATAAACGCCGAAACAAAGGACGGCTGGGTGCGAAACAATTAAAAACGTTTCGCTCGATCGCTCAGGATTCCTCCTACTACCCATTGCGCCATATCCCTCGAATCCGTAGCTGCTCCCGCAGCATGGTTTCGCCTTGCTGGTTCCTGGTTGCTGCTCGGTGCCTATATCACCTCGTGGCCGCCCTTCGAGTACTCCGCAGCTCACCCTTTCGGCAGCAATAACAAAACACACGGAAGGGTGAAAACAAAAGCGAATCGCGGCGATTTAATGACTGATCGCGGCCTGTTCCTGGTGCTGGTGGAGGCGGTGAAGGTTGCTGTGTAACGTGGTGCACACCTCCATAAGGAAATATATAGACTCCTGTATATATATATATATACACACACATATATAAATATACGAATATATGTCTTCCTGAACTGTGCTCAATCCACGTTGCATCGAATTGCACCACGACAGAAATGCATACAAGTCCACAAGAACTGGTAGCGGCTTATACGTATATATTTCGTGTGCAGAAGGCGGGTGCCACCTTCTACCTACATTGGTTATGGCGTTAATCGCGCGTGCAAAAGCGCCGATTCAATTTTTTAGGGAGTTTTGTTTTATTTCAGCGATAAGCTGAAAAAACCTGGAGGATATGGTTGCTCTGCTGGTAGCTATGTGCCGGCTCTGCTGCACCGTCTATACGTAACCGGTTCTTGTAGTATGAGCACCAAAGGTTGCACCGGTACTACTGGATGCTAAGCCGACGTCGGATCTTGTATGCCATTTAACGCGCGTATTGATACGTAATAATGAGAGTCTTTTGTGACTTACTGACACGCCCATATTTTCAACCTCGCTTACATATAGGCATACGGGTCCAGCTTTAGTTATATGAATATAACCGTGAGGATATACCGAGACATCTGGCGTCGACTACTAGACTTCTGACACGTAATTTTATTCTTAACATATTAATCACTATTAAATTTCTATTTATATTTAATATTCAAATGATTATTGTATTGACTTTCTCAGCATTGAAATTCTGATATCATTCTTATCGGTCCATGATTTCTTGAACCTACTATATAGCCAGCACCTTATGGACGCCGGTTTAAGTATCCGAGACATAGTAAGAATAATAAAGGATTCTCATCCTTTCTGCAAAGTCCCTTCAACAATGACGGACATTCGGTTATTTTACGGTCGGGCCGAACAATAGGCGATAACAATTCATGACTGCGACCTCCATTAAAGGACTGAGGGCGCATAACGTTGAGAGCATAATTCCCAGTGTGTATAGCTATATAGTATGCCTATATACACTATATCTACATAAAATACTGGAATATCCTTAATTCGATTCTGCGAGTTGCACAACTACAATTCGCCTATATAAATGTAATAGTAACATTTCGGTTATCATACACACAGGTTAAATCTAACGAAAATCCTTTTCACGTTGAATACAGTACTAAATACTAATATGGGAGGATCGAACATATCCAAAGGACAGGAGTAGGTACAGCGTACTAGTACGTACTCCCTGTTGGCCACGCAACCACTCGCTTAGGCTAAGCACCTAAACCTAATTTATAGCGATGTTTCGTGTCCTCCACAGTTGCCCTGCAGGCTGTGTCCTATTGCTCCTATTCTCTATTATGCATCGCCGCCACCGTAGGCCGGAAGCCCCGATATCTATATGCCATTCTAAATTATTCGGCATTGTCCTCGCTTCATTCCATTGTCCGCGTCTGTCTCCACCGTGCCGAGATACGCCACGGGTTAGGGCGTACCTACAACGGCACAGCCATCCCCGCCTATTAGATCTTATATATATTATATATATACATATACATATAGAGATACACGTAACCCACTCCTATGTATAATTACACCCTTGCGTATTTACGCGTTATCCGTCGGTCAATGCTTTTATATTATTTTCTACGTATATCCCCTGTGCATTGGAGATTTAGTCATCACATCGGAGGAATTCTGCTGGATGAATTTGTGAAAGAAACAATTTTTTTTAATTATCATCCAATGATAAATTGTCACTTGGCTTACTCGTACATTTGATATTCTCAGACCGTTAAAAAGTGGAATGCAATATTGCGCCAGAGTTAATGTAGCCGTTCCCGACGTAACGTCTATGCCGTCAAGAGTCCTTATGGCCTGGATGCTTTATATATATATATATATAGTAAATTGTATCGCGTGCTATCCTGGAGGCGTGACTCCTATATAGGTATAGCTGTAGGTATACTATATCCGAGGATCTACCCCTTGGATAGACATTACGTGCGGTTATTAAAGTGTCGCTGGCGACACCACCATACCTACGACCCTCGACCTTCCTAACCACCCTTGCGTGGCTGCCTTATGTATACCCTATTTTGACGTTCTATCTACTGTCGAAGGAATGCCCACTGGCTATATCCATCTATGGATATATATATGTATTGTATAGAACTATTTATAAGTCTGTACTCGTGTATTTTCTTGATACACGTTCTGGCATATGGGATTCTTGAAGCGGCTGGAATTCGAGTCTAAGGGTTGAACAGATTAAAGTAAAATTGAGAGGAATGACTTTTTATTGTGCATTAATTGAATGTTTTTCCTTTATACATATGTGTAATGGTATATACGATTTTACATGGGGTCTTAAGGAACTTCGAAAAAAAGTCGATGGGTTATCGATCAATTGAAGCAAGGGACGAAATAGCTTGAATTGGAATCGCTGAAATTTTTCAAAGGGAGGATCCGTTTACCGTGACAGTGTCTTGGGACAAAGGGATAGTATCCTCTTTTGCTGTCGCTGTATTTCATGCACATACTCTCGTATTACTAAAGGAGCTGGTATTCTCGTATTTTGCATTAGTCGCTAAATCTGAAAGGCAACCCTTATACAAGAGTAGGGTGAACGAAGGGGCCGTGGGTGCAGCGTGCACCCCGGCAATGAATAAGGTTCAATAAATTCATTAAATGGCTTTGCTTTTTGTGACTGGTAAAATTAGTGAGAAAATATACATCATTTATCGCAACCTCGTTATAGAACCCTTGAGGTATGTGCGTGAACAAAAAACAGGGTAGTAACGTGAAATTAATATAAGGTTCGAGTACCGAACCTGTAAGGGTAGTATAACCAATGGAACGGCGGCAATTTGTAGAAAGTCAGAAGTTCGAGATTATTCAGACCGTGGAAAAAGAGTATAAATTCAACGCGTATTGAAACTGACCGCTATCGAGGCCAGTCGGGAGTCTCTATACTCAATGGTGTGCCCAATGGCGTCGCGGTGGTTCTCATTTATCCTTTAGGAAAACAACGAATTTTTTATCCCTACAAAAAACATCCCTACACCCTGAATCCTCGGTTTACATTATATTCGACAACCCCTGATCCACTCAAGTTATCGAGGTTGTTAGAAATAATTGCGAAAGCCGTGCTCACGTACTCCACGTATACGTTTCGCTGTAGGGAGGTACGGACGCACTTGTACCACTTGGAAAAAAAAAATTCGTAGCAACCCCTAAACGTCCGTATAATATTTTACCCTTGGCTATACCAACCATTGACTTAACTGACCACTCGTTAAAAAGTTGAATCCTTCCTTTATTACTTGAGGATTGATAAACCAGTTAAAATGTAGCCATTACATCGCCCTTGTGGCTCCGTCAATAGAGAAACCCTTCTTTTTCTACCAAGTATTTCAGAGTCAGGGGTTCTCGATATTCTACCCTTAACGCCCAGATACTTATAAGAATAAAAAGACTTTGCGTATGGAGTTGCTCTGGTACAGCTAGTTTTACGCACTTTAACCTTTGGTTATTATTTCCATGTATGTGTGTGGGATAACTCGGATCCAACGTAACGAGTGGGCACGAGCAACTTCTCGAGAGCCATTAGGAGTAAGTTCCTATTCCTTTCTTCCCTCAGTGCTTCCTAAAAGCAATGTCCGTTGGAAAGGAAGCTGAAGAACTAGAAGTATTTTTCTCGTTAGGGCGGTGCGTTCTTCCGTGAAGCATCTTTAGGTTATGTGCATATGTCTCTGGTGGTTATCGACAAGTACAATGTAGAATTTAAGATATAATATGTATATAGTATTAGGAAGTATGAAGATGAACGAAGAAATCAGCTGTTAGAATATTTATGTTAATAAAGAAATTGTACCTTTGAAGTTTGCATTCCGTACGTCTAACCCGCTGATACTCGTGACGCTGTCAGGTAACCTCAATTAAATTAAACTCTGGTACTGTCAGGAGCATCGGCTTTTGGGTTAAGTTTTTATTAACAAACAGTGACAGATTCTTTTGACATCTGATTTCTTTCTTCACATTCCCGCGGGTTAGCCACCGAAAATATGAATGTTGCGAATGTCTGGAATTATTGTTGGTCCAGGTACAAAACGTGCAAGGATTTCTGTCGACACCGTCAACGAAGATGATCGGGATTCTGATTCAGGGGCGGACCTTCATGTGGACCGTGTCCCGGGTAAGCCCAGGCCCCGATCTTCTGGTTCACCTTCACCTTCCCGCTCGAGATCACGATCCCGTTCATCACCATCTTCCCGTTCCCAGTCCGATTCACGATCTCACACGGCGTCAAATGCTCCCATAGCCGCGGAGCGCGGTCCCGCGGAATTCATCGGTGTCCGGAAACGTGAAGACAGCATTAACAATTCTGAGGACGGAAGTGCCGAACCTGGGACACCGAGTCCGATCCACACACCGCCCTTGACGCCGGCCACATCTACACCGCAACGCGAGGGCACACCGGCACCGGAGAATCTCAGTATCAGGAGGACTGCTAGTCCTAGTGAGAATCAGACCCAAACTCCTATGCAGGCTGTGGACCTGGTTCAAGCAAGACATACTCCACCACCTCCGTCGCTTGCTGTAAGATAATATGTTTGTCAGATTTTTTTTGGTAGTTCAATGTAGGATAAGACCCCAGGAGGCGTTAGACATTTTTCTTACCGTTAAAGTTTTGCGAACGATAATCGATCTTGCAGCTATGAAAAAAGCAATGTTCCTGGGTTTTATTCTAGGCTGCCGCCGCAGCACATTTCTCACCCTATGCACCGCTCTACGGACCCACCGCGAGTTCACTCTACTGCTCACCCTCTTTGTATCAACATCATCATCATCTTCACGAACCAAGAGAGATACAGATGCAGATGCAGATGCAAATGCAGAATATTCAGCAACCTTGTGGTCTCCAAGTGCAGCAGCAGCAACAGCAACAACAGCAACGTTCCCCGGTTGATGTACTGTTGAGAGTTTTCCCAGGTCGACGTCGTGCCGACGTGGAGGCTCTTCTACATCGATGCAAGGGTAAGTTTTTTTTAGTGATTTGAAATATTACACAAACTTCCCCCCCCCCCCACCTTTCCGCTTTACTCTCCAAGTACTTCCTCTAATTTACCCCTGGTATCCTAAGCTGGTATCCAAGTATCTATCCTAAGAATGCACAGTGGAAACGGGTCTGTCACAGGGGATGTAGTGTCAGCCATGGAGGTTATGGTATGCGAGGACAGTCTTCAGCCTAAATCAGCTTTCTCTCCGTTAGCCGGCGCCCTGGCGTCGGCGGCAGCAGCGTCGGCAGCTTCTGCAGCTTACGCATCTCGCGGTGGCTATTGTGGTCCAAGTCCTCCAACGCGACATAGATTCCTCGCAGCCCCTTACACAGGAACTGGATACTTACCAACTGTAATCAGACCACCAAATCAAACTGGACATCCAAATGGTACCACTGACGCTTACAGAGAAACCAGCCCTGACGACGCCAGCGACAAAACCAGCTATTCCGAGTGACCTGGCTGGTTTTATCTCTAGTATCTTACAAAGAGACGAAGACTTAGTCGGTACAATCACTATGATTTTTTTTTACTACAAAGTGAATCCTTTGCGAATAATGCTAAATTTTGGTCTACTTCGAACGTGAGGTGGGACAATGTTACGTTCAGTAATTTGAAAGCCGTATATCTTCCTCTTTCAGGATGTGAGATAATCCTAGGAAGAATCGAACAAATTATCGGTGATAAATAATTGGCTAGACAATTCTGCCGGTGATAGACGATTAATGTGTAGATAAAGGTATGTGTTTAAATATAGACTTAGGTAGACTTAATAGAGCGATATACAGAAAAGTTGTAAATAATGCGATTGGATAGCTCAAATAATGTTCATCAGAGTTGTCTTTATATAACGTAACGCGCCTTCCGGTATACAGGAACGCGTATTCCTTCAGGATTTTACGCGTCAGTTATGGGCTGGGAAGTTCTGAAGGACTTGGGGATTCCTGTCTGCTCATATACGATGGTATACATATGATTTACAGCTAATATAATATACGTGTATAATGCCTATAATATGTTTAGCGAAGTAATGAAATTTATTAATATTATAAGAAAGCTCTATAGTTACCAATGTGCTGCACGATGTATAGACCGGAACCCTCAATAAATTATTGGTATTCCACATCAACTTTTTATAATAATATTAATTTTTTTATTTCATACAATACCAAAGTATATCTATATCACTCTTAATATTAGCATTATTTCTTTCTAATAAAATAATTCTTTTAATTCCTATTAATTTGATACAATTTTGCTATTACTGTTTATCAAGTACTGCTGCTCTTGATATCTATGAGAACCACTCGACCGAGAATTTCTGTCCTACGGAAAAAAAAATCATACGCTCAATATACAAAGTTATTTTCTCATCCAGGATAATTCATCCTGACAGTTAGGACGAACCGTGTCCTCGAGAATAAAAGAATCTTCCCCTTCCTATTTGAAAGATTACCTACAAAACGTATCCGGTATCTCGGTATATGGCTGCAGGTGCAGTTCTAAGATAGATAAAAAGGTATCAATTTTCTGGAGGTCTTTGCAAGAAGACCAAAATCGAAGAATTCGAAATAACTTTTTCTGAGTAAATGTGAGAAAAAACTTTTTTATCTTCAGTAGTGATACTTATCAATATTTATTACAATCCCTAATAAATATTTACAAAACGTATTCAATTTGTTCGGAGATTTCATGAAGCTTTATTCTCTATTATTTTCATGGTTGGTGCGATATTCCGTACTCGTAAATATAGAACGTGTAATATATTGACACCCCGTTGTGCTCATTCCAATAAATACGGAATGACTATCAGATACCATGTATTGGCTCTGCCATTAGTTCATAAAGGAATCCCACACCTGCTAGTGCAATAATGCAATTTAGTCTATGGAAGGGAACTCGGTGGAATGTTAAGCCTTATTTGATTGATAAGAGGGTGACATTTTATTACTGTGAAAATGCTAGCCTACGTGTTATGATCAGTCAGGATTTCATTATCCATAAATATTCTGACATACCGTGAATATATATATATATATATATATATATATATATATGGTTAAATTGTTCACACTTACTTTTGCATAATTAAATATTCAAAGCAAATAATCTTTTAATAGATTCCTATGTACTTTTGCTCCATGGCTACTGTCTATGGATATTATTAATATGCATTTTAATGTATATTGGAATATGCAAAGACGTCTTGTTTCCACGTCCTTAAGATAAGTAAATAATATAACATACGGATACGCACAGGTAGAATTTTAGGCAGTTCTAGAAGATGGTTGCTATAGAGATGAAAAAAAGGGGAGAAAGAAATGTTTGCCAAGAGTCGGCAACACTTTATCTCCATTGGTCCCCTCTAAAGAAGACCGAAATGCCGTTCACTTGCCTCGCTGATCGCTTCCAGTGTGACTATACGTGGTGTATGGAGGTAGGACAAGATCCTGCTGACTAAAGATCCCATGGTTACAGGTAGGTGGATAGGTAAATGTTCTTCGGAGAAATAAGTAAATATTGAAACAAGATAAAAATGTTAAAAGCTCCAATGTTAGTGATGAGGGATAACCTCAAAGTTCGTAGGGAGTAGATGATCTCACGGAGAATATGAAAATTACACAAAAGAAGTTGAATTCTACGATCGTGCTACTTTTGTAAAGTGTAGTATGAAATACAATGCCCGAGAATCAAAGCCAAGTGATATAAGACCCAGAGAAATAATTCATAACATATGCGTACATAGTGACAGTTTTAACGTCCGTATAATCTCAACGTAAAATGAGGTTAGGTTTGAGACGTGCATTGAAACGGAAATGCCATTGACGCAAAGTGAGAGTAATTAATGGAATATGCTTGGGGACGATGGAACGAATTTGATCTCCGCCGTCCTTGTCGATAGGCAAAGGGCGCGTGACGGCACTGAGAGGAAAGGGAATATTATCATGGATTTAATTAATATTTCATTTGTATGCTATTTCTCGCTCCCGCGCCCGACGAACACCCCGAGTCGCCGCCTCTGCCAGCACTACCACAATCACCCCCGCAGTTCACCTCTACGTGGCATAGAATTCGTACCCTGATACACACACAATCACTTCCGAGGGGTAGCTGTAGGTAAGTACTCGAAAACTTGCCGGAGAGGTTGGGACGTGTGAGTGAGTCGAAATACGGACTTGGTTCATGGACAGGATAGGAGGACGACACGCCAAACCACGATCCACGCCATCCGCCCCCCCTATCTTTCTCACTCTCTCTCTCCTCCACCCTGGGCTGTCTGTCCGTCCGTCTGTATTTCAATTTCCAGCGTCCATTGTTGGTTACTAATATTATTCAGTTGGGAATTGTTTCGCGAGGCCCCTTGAGAACGACCGGGACTCGATTTTCACTGGCTTCGTGACTATCGCACTCTGGCGTCCCCAACCCTCCGCTAGCAAGAGAATTTCTCTCATTTTATTCCTTTCACCCCGGGGTCACTCGCTATAATTCGTATTTCTCTTTAAAGGCTGTACTTTATATTTTCTACAAAACCGGTCTGCGTATAGATTTTTTAGTTTTGGTAATGTCCCCGTGTTTACCCATCCATTAGCGCTACAATAACAAGTGTGCCTTTTGGTCGCTTCTTCCATTTTTTTCCTCATCGACACTCATACTTTTTTTTTTATCTCTCTTTCCCTCTCTTCTCCAGGACCTCCTCCTCGGCAAGATCTTTATATGCGACCTCCACATAAGATATATTATACACAAGGCCTTCTTCTCTGGATACTGGTAACAGTGCTGAGATCCAGAACACCGTTGACCCTATTTCTATTTGAACAAGAAGAAGAGTCGCTCACCGACTTCGTCGTTGTGCCGGTCTACTCTTGTGCTGCCGCTGGGTCCTTGAGGAGCCGCTGAAGGACCCGGTTGTAGATGGAAGTATAAACAGTAACACGCATGAGATAGTCAGAAGAGAAGTCATCGGCAAGGCTAGATGATGTCTAGGTGTAGGCTACCCAGTCATTTACTCAGGTACATTAAGTATTCTTACACATTTGATAGCGCTGCAAGACTCTCAATGCGTTTACTATGTTTTAAACTTTTTCAAAAGTCTATTTGAACTTCATCAAAATAAGATATTTCCAGCAAGTCGAATAATCAACCCGTGGTCCCATTGGACTAGGAAGTGTACGGAGTTATAAGGTGTGTAAGGGGATCGGAAACCGCGTCATTTCGAATTCGCAAGGAATGGTTTGCGGTGACAATGAGCATACCAACCACGAGAACCACCCTTTGCCGACTCCTCGGGGGGATGGAACCAAGATATTGAATACCGTTTCACATGCCCTCCACGTAGCCAGCCACGTAGAGGATCCCGATCCGCCCTCTTCGAGGCATCCCTTCCATACGTCCCTCCCTTACTTCGTATTCTTCGTCTTCTCCCTCGCCCATCTACTGACCTTATACCTAGTGCTTTCAGGCCGTTCCAGTCGAGGGGTACCCCTTCAGCGATCCACCCTCTATTATTCGACGATATTAAAATTTTCTTCTATCTTTCGAGCGTGCCCGGGGCGCCGTTAATTTACACCAACCCTATTCTACATTCTGATATATTTATCGCCCACCTGCCAACCCATCCTTTGTGTCTCTATTGGATTTTCTCTATACTTATCCTTCACAGTACGTTACTTTATAGTGTATTACGTATCCTTCTTAACATAAAGCTCTATATTATGATATTCTCAGGGCTCGGCATTTGAAAATTCTGCCTGGCTAAATACGAACTGGATTTACTAAATAGAAATTCCAATAACAAGAAAATCTTTTCTATTACAGTGTACATCAATGTATTCCAGGCTCTATACTGTCCGCTTGAAAAGTAGTATTAAAGTCTGTACATGAGTTTGCATATGGGGAAAATGGCGTTTGTTGTGGGATAGTTAATACAAAGAAGTACATAATGGCCAGAATCATAGGGGTTTTTATTAGGGCGAGTTTTAAACTCTCATAGATAGCAAATTCAGTGATTGAATTCTAAAGCGATTAGCCGCACGCGACGGGTTAAAGGTGTCGACCTGCAATTGACAACGGCCGGGAAGGATTGTGAGACCCTGGAGAGAGGGTGGATTGTGAGCGCGAGGGTGAGAAAGGAAAAAAAATTAAATTAAATTGTTGCCCGACACTTCGGTATCCCAATGGCGAGAACCCGCCACCCAAATACCATTTCATCGTGCTAATCCCTCCATTGGCAATTGGCTGATTCACTCTGGATAGAATGTTGGATTGGGCTTGTGTAAAACTGGGTTATGGCATGGATCGCACGCGATTTTCATGGTGAAAACAAACGTGGCACTCCTGGCGGGCAGTTGGTACAATTTTTCCATGAGTTAATGTTAATCAGTCGACGCTGACGTGATCGAGAGTTCTTGACTGAACTTCATGTCAGTTACTGCCAACTCATCCACCCGAAATGTCCACGATCAGCTAGCAAACCCTCTGTAATTCATCCATGTACAACGCAGTCTCGTTAACCAGCAAAGAGTGATTTCATTTTGCGAAAATATCTATAAAATGTATACACAAAAATATACAGGGTTATTCACGGCAAACGTGTTAGCTGAAATTGGCCGTGAGTTTGGTGATTTCATGAATCAGAGCAGGTTGGTATCATTAGAAAAATGAAAGTTAACGTCATAACATTGCTGAGATCATGAATTTCACATTCCTCCATTTGTTTAACGAGGCCACACAGCCTCGATTAACAGAATCGTTCACTTGCGTATAACTTCAGCCGGTACGTTTGCCGTCAATAACCCTGTATATACACTATTCATAAAGCCTTAGACCAAAAGCTAAGACGTTATAAATAGTCACTGAAGTACTCGAAACAACGTATGGTCGAACCCTGACATCAGTTCCACTTCGAGGGGCCATCTCCTTAAGAATCAAAACGTAAATAAGTCCCCTCAAAGTGGACCGAAAGTAGCGACCCTATCCGTGTACATATAAGTCATTACGCATGTTCTCTATGCTTCATGGATGTGACAAGATGGTACGCATGCGCACACGTACTTAACAAGAAGGTATAAATAGCAGGCATAAGGCCGGTACTTGCCACTTCTGACTAGGTCCTTGGCGACA